AAATCAATCGAATTTAACAACGAACATTTAAATTGTTATAATACAACAACCTACTGGACCACTGAGTCAGCATCTAATGGTGTTAGTATCTAACATCAACCAGTCCACAAAATTGCACCACTATCTTCCATTTTACTGAGCTAGATACCTGTCTCTACCCGACACGTATTATCTCCACTGGTCACAGATTCTCACCAGAACTCCGAGAATTTTCTCACGAAGCTAGTCACTAGTGAGCACATGTTAATTATCAGTATAGGCTTTCAGGTGTTTTTCAATGGTAGTCTAACATCAATCGATTCATGATCTCAATCTAATAACTTGACCTAATTCTCAACAGTTCTTTATCAATTACAACCTATTTCCTCTTTAAATCTAACATGTATGATAGAATATATATTCATTAGAGATTATCGTTAATATATGTATATTGCAACGAATTAAGATTTCCTTTTAATATTTGTGTCTAGCTCTTCAAAAAAGGAAAATCTATTAAGATTTCATGAAATATAAGTACTTACTTAACTATATCGTAAAACTTCTTTTCAATGATTCATAGAGAATGTGAAACTGAACACTAAATATACATTTCTTTTTTTTTCTAACAGATTGATCATTGAGTTGAGATGCTTGATGGTTGAAGTTAATCGAAAACGTTTCCTGTCGATTAGTTCTAACCACTTAAGATATGACTTATTTTTAGATGGAACTTTATTAAAATGCTACATTCGTTATGTTCTTATGGCCTATTAATTATCAAATGATAAGATCGCCAATTAACACACTGATTTATATGACTAGATCAATGACACACAAACCAGTACGAGTAGTCCTAACTCATCTTTGAGTTCTTCGAGATAGTAGCTTATCGCCTAACATAACCGGTTTAGTTCGGAATACCAATATCAGCCTCCGTTATACGAATCATATATTTCAGACACTCTCGTTTTATATACAAACAAACCAGACCGTATCATTCCATAAAATAAACAATAAAACAATTTTACAAGATCAAGTCAAAAAGTTGCTGTGATTGTAGAAGACTGTAACTGATAAATTGGGAATATCTTAAGAATTGTAAATCGTGCAATAACAGTCAATAAGTCAAATAGAAGGTTATAATAAAAGGAATATAAACATACGTATAATATGATTACTTAATAAAGATGGATACGCGTTTCATCCTATTCGGGGCTTGTCAGCTGTATGTACCTGCATTGCAGATTTGATATTCACTATGGTACTTGAATCCAATACCGTTCGTTTCAAACGCCATCACGTTTTCCACTTAGCTACTGAGTCATAATAACCACCTGCTTGTGTAATGGGTTGAAGTTATATTAACTTGGTATTGTTCACTTTTATCTTCCCATTGTTATTTAAGATAGAGTAATCAACAACAAAGAAAAAATAAGTGATGTTTTATTCTGTTTCTTTAAGTCTCGCATGTAAACTAGCAGCCACAAGCTTATTCAATAGCTGACTATCAGGATTCAGTAGCTAAGTGGATAACGTGATGGCATTTGAAGTAAACGGTACTGAGTCCGAGTCCCGAAGTGGACATCAACTCTGAGGTGCAAGTACATTTAATTGCAGAGTTCTAAATAGAACGAAACACGCGTCCTGCATTTCACTGCTAGCCACTATCCATCTTTGCTTATAAAGCTTGTGATCTAAGGTAATTTCGAGGCAATCTGCACAGGATGTACATTTGCCAACAAGTGACTGATCGATTGCAGTCCTAAATAACAATAGGAAGATACAACTAAACACCAGGTGAATTTAATAGTTAGGAATATATATAATAATAGTTCACAGATAGATTCTGATGGTTACTATTCACTTATTCTTCATCCGGATATAACAGTATCTTTAATCAGAACAAATCCAATATAAATTTTTTTCTGGTTAGCATTTTTTTAGCGAGTTAGTTTTCTACGGGATGGGTCCGCTAACCCCATGCCCAACCCTCCTCCTTTATCCGGGCTTGTGGCAGGCAGTAGCCTTCGGAGGGGCTCCAGGCGGAGTTACAAATCCAATATATGCATCACAACTATAAAATCCCTAACTAATAATTATTAAGAGATGATAACATATATATATACTGGATTATTAATCTGTGAAAAACTTTCATTATTCTCAGTTTATCTAGAAAACGATTACACAATAAAAAAGGTGTGATTATGTCTTCTACCTTGGTGATTTTTGTTAAATATAACATTCGTTTTCAATTTAGTATTACGATTATTCAGAGTAATGTTTTGTATAACGTTGATGTCTAATGTTTACTCAACATAATACTTACTTACTTAGTCACTTTACTTACGCCTTTTACTCCAAATGGAGCATAGGCTGCCAACTAGTATTCTCCAATTCAACATAATCCAGATTGTATTAAATCACCTGGAACTTTGCTTGATAATCTTAACAACATGGTTTATCGTAGAAACTTTCTGTATTTCCTCTATATATGATCTCTATTAACTAATCATTAAGTGTATGTAAAATCATTTTGTAAATAAGTGTACTTTTCTGTATTTACTTAACGAATTTTTGACAGTCAACAAAATCTCCTTTTGAACCAATATTTGTTTTCTTAAGTCATGAAAAGTGCAGTAATGCTCAGTTCTAAAGATTTGTAACAATCACTCTAGTGATTACAACAAACCGTAAAAACAGTCTGGTTGAAGTTAAGTATTTACACCGTTGGATATTGGCCTAACAGTCCAGAGGTTAAGCGTTCGTGCACGAGACTGAAGGTCCTGTATCCGAATCCAGCGTTCGTGATCATGGATGCACACTGTTGAGGAGTTTCGTACTGGGACAAAACCTCAGTCCAGTGCTTCTAAGTTGATTAGTAATGTTATATTAAACTTTTTACTTGATAATCCATTTATATGTTTATGGTATACAGCTATACGCATGTAACAGATAAACCTTGTAATTCCCAGTTCAATTATCACTTACATTTATATAAACAATCGCTTAAGATTTATCAATAAAACAAAAGAACTCCAAGACCGTTGTTTAATAATTTTGTATTGATAATCCTCAAAGAAATGTATCTCATGTCAATATCAAAAACTGTAGAGAAAAACAATAAATCTTATGAATGATACAATGAATTGACCAATGAACAGTAACCAACCCCAGGATTGTTTAATCCTTTAATAATGATCGAATTCTATTGATGATACTAAGTAAATCTAAAAACAGAATCACTCCTCTATCTTTGAAGTATCAATAGGTATGATCGATAAGAATGAATTTGTATTGAATGAGTATTTTGTGTTCTGAATATTATTATTTACTAGTAGACCTTGGCAACGGGGTCGTGGATGAACACTTTTTAGTAGTTTTGGACCAGAAGGAAACAGCTATTTAGTGCTTCTTGATTTTCATAGATTATTTATCACGTATGACATTGTAAAATCCCCATCAATTTACTGACAATTCGAATTGTTGTAGTAGCTTTGCTTCGTTAATCAATCACCCTTGTGTAACCGTTATTATATACATCTTAACGATGTTTAAAATCAGAAGGTAATAAGAAGTGGCAACTATATATTTTTATTAGAGCATTGAGCAGATGACAAAGCTATAAGCACATCAAGCGAATTTGAAGCGGAGAGGCGAATATGTATATATAGGAAGAGATACGTAGGTAAATTTATAGTCAAAGTGCATGAGGGTGCAATAAGTTAAAGTAAAAGCTAATAATAAGATTTAAGTACATATATACATGGGGAAGAAATGAATCATCAAGTGATATTTAAGTATTCAACATTTTAACTAGAGTCTGACATGCGCTCTAATGATCATAACGGTACAAATGAAATAGACAAATTGTTACTGTGCAAATTATATTTTCTGTTGTTAAGGAAGTTAATAGTAATAAGGCTAAAAGCAAAATGAACCATAATCGAAATTGATTATAGGATAGTTACTATACTGTTATGAATATTTTATTCACACAAGTGGACATTATTGTAGATAATTCACAAAGGGTATCATGACATCGATTCACGTAGATACAATTCAATCAATTTCATGGAGTTTTTATTGATTTATTGATTTCACATTCCTTTTGTGATGACAATTTTTTTCTAAAGATTTGAATAAGATTTCCGTACAGTATTTAACTAAAGGTGTAGGATTTTACGTCATAACTAGATCTCATTCGAGAAACCAGGAAGCAGTTTATAGACATTTAGTTATAGTATAGAATCTTTCAGTATAGTGTACCTAATAACCTACTATGGATCAAACCTTGGATCTTTAAGTTTCATAGTAAACACTTAAACATTAAAATTAACTAGGTTGATGTCTAATGGTACAATTTCAACTTCCATCCGTTTTTTAATGTAGAGCAACTACTATTCATCTATTCTGGTTAGCGTTTTTTAGCAAGGTTGTTTACTACGAGATGAGATTTCTGATACCATATCCAACCCTCTTCCATTACATGGGCTTTGCACCGGTAGTAACCGTAGAAGAGCTACAACCGTCATCAATAAAGTACAGGTATTTATAATCAATTGTCTATACAAGATAATTAATATCCGTTGACCAGATAGCATTAGAAACAAACTACTGTAGGAGAGAACAAACCAACTTCCAAATGAAGAGGAAATTGGGAAAGGACGTTGGAAGTGGATAGGATATACATTGAGGAAATCATCAAACTGCATCATGAGGCAAGCTCTTACTTGGAATCCTGAAGGTAAAAGAAAAAGCGGAAGATTAAAGAATTGAAATTAGACACGAAAATGATGAATAGCAACTGGAAGTAACTAGAAAGGAATGTTCAAAGTAGAGTTGAATGTAGAATGCTGGTGGTTGATCTATGTTCCTCCATGAGGGTTAACAGGAGTAAGTAAATATGTAACTACAATTCATTGAACCGCTCTTCATAAAATCTTTTTCTAACTATATTTAAATTAATAATCTCCTACAAATTTTTATTTAACAATTTTGTTATTTTAAATTAATTTGATCAGCTCTTATGCATGCAGCAGTATTCGGTAATGTGACAACACTTATTCAACGTATGTATTCAAGACGTTCAGCATATCAAACAAAGAATCAAGATTTAAAAGATTTTACACGTGCTCATCATATACCGAAACCTTTAAAACAACGTATGCTTGAATTTTTTCAAGCTATGTGGGCAATTAATCGTGGTATAGATAAAGAAGCTGTAAGTTTGATCAAAACAATAATAATATTAGAAGGGGTTTTGTGGAGATTGTAGTAATTTAAACAGTTAAGATCATGAGTCAATTGAAGCTAGACCACCATGGAAAACCCAGAAGCACTGGACCACCGTTTCGTCCTATTGTAGGACTCCTCAGCAGTGCGCATCCACCAGTGGAGTTCAACCGGGTCAGTTGTGAGGTAGTAACTCACTGATGACAATGGTGGATGTGTCTCTTATTTTCGTGGATTAGTTGAAGTTAGACATTAACACTATTGGATACCGGTCGGCTCAGTGATCTAAATGGTTAAGCGCCTGGAGCGAGACTGATAGATGCTGGGTTCGAATCCTACGACGAAACGGCCGTCCAGTGCACCTAGGTTTTCCATGGTGGTCTAGCTTCAATCGACTCATGATCTCAACTGTTTAAACTGAAATAATAATAATACTGAATAGTAATATTCATTTCAATCAGATTTAATTATTTGAACAGATTTATGATGTTTAATCCAATGAATGTAAAACATTTGTGACGAAACTATCATTTTTGAATGAACCAATCAGGTATAAGAAAACAGATCTTGGATTTTGGTGCGAAATTCAATCATCCATTTGGTGAAATAGAGTTTTGGCATTATAGCTAATGTCAGTTCGTGATAAAAACCTTAAATCTAATTTCTAACCCAAATCATCAACTGTAAATCACAGTCCTAATTCCTCATATTGATTTATAACCCTCATTTGGTTCTAGTTATTAGGTGAACACTCTTAAGGTTACTTGTGTGTCGTTCAAAGGTTGTCCTTAAATTATAGTCTCACCGATACGTTTATCTATAGCTTAACGAGGTGAGGCTATAGAGAAATAAACCAAATTAATGATGAAGTCAATTAATTTATTTTAAACTGTTAGGATCGAATATCTTTCATCTTATATTTTGGAATTAGCACAACATATGCGTATAGGATTCTTTTATAGACATTTAATGAGATTCGGAATATCCCTATATATATGTTTAGCCCTGGTATGGATTGCTTCAGAGTTGAGCATTCAAGATTTTAGACTGGATAAAACCCAGATAATTCAGTACATATAATATAATCAGGGTAGTTCATATTCCATTGAAAACCAGACTACGGTGAATAGTTGCCGTATTCTAATATTTTCTGCGACACTTGAAAGCTTTCCGTTTGATCTTATGTTAAGCCATGGATTCATACTGCTGGAACATCAAAAACTAAGAGCAAACAACTGCCTAGTTATACAAAGATTTATAATGTAAACCCGACTGTAGTCATTTAGTGATTAAAATGTCCCCTCAAACAATTACTCGCCACAGAAACAGTTTACACTAAATCGTGAAAATACAAAAATTCAATTTTCTCCTCATTGAGATCTGATAAATTTACCATTATTTTCGATGATTAACTAATAAGTCATCGTTTTTTCTCTCCCCCAATGATCGATTGTTTCATTCGACAATATAGATATTACAATCATTCCCGGAAAATTTACGCGGTGATATTGCTTTACATTTAAATCGTGAAATATTATCATTGAGTTTATTCAAAAGTGCCAGTCCTGGTTGTCGTAAATGTTTAGCTCAATTAATAACAACACGTTTTGCTACACCTGGTGAATATCTTGTTAATCAAGGTGATGCATTACAATTTATCTATTTTGTCTGTAGTGGTTCTTTAGAAATACTTGGTGAAGAAGGTACAGTTGTTGGATTGTTGGGTAAGTTTTTTTTCAAAAACAGAAAATTTAATGAAACATGTAAACTTACATTATTGACGTTGCGTAATTTAGTGTAAGCGACTACTTCAGAGCAGATATATATTTATTTATATGTACATAACAGTAAAGTCTTGACATTTAATGCTATCTCAGTGAACTAAGAAAAGAGACGAATTACCTTTTAACTTTATATATGGGTTTAAACAGAACTTAAGATCTACTTCCCTTCTAGTGTTTTTCTGATTGGACTGTGAACATGCTGACAGTTCATAGGTCAACTTCAAGCTTTGGATGATTCTACAGTTTATACTGAATGATGATATGATTCTTCTTAGATTAAATAAACGTTACTATGCTTCAAAACTAAATAGTGTCAAATCATAAATCACAATTAATGTATTGAAAGGATATTCAAATTCCACAATGCTAAATGTATTTTTCTGAGTAAACTAGTCACATTTCCTAGCGTGAAGACCTATGACACAATATCAATAATACCAGTGAAGTATAACGCCATAAAATTCAATTTTCCGAACACTTTCCGTCATCACTATAATTTAAATGGTAATTACAACTTGTTTATATCTAGTTTGAGATTACTTTAGCAAATACAAACACCCGATCAGAGACATGACTGATTTTAAAGAACATCTGCTTTTAATAATGGATTAAAGAAATTTACCTTCTTTTAAATGTTCGACACTATTGTGTAACCACTGTAAATGATTTAATGATATTAAACGACAATAGGGAAATATTCAGATTCTTTTGTCATGAAGATGTCAACAACTGAGGGAAACATGGTATACAGTGGATATCTAGGATGCAGCTGGACAATCTAGACTTCATAGATGATCTGACTCTACACGAAAAGACAACCAGTGTAGCAGCAGCAAACTCGGCAGCATTAGGTCTCAACGTAAACAAAGGGAAAGTTAAGATTCTTCAATACAACACAACAAGAACCAATTAAATCACACTTGGCGGAGAAGCTTCAGAAGATGTAAAAACATTTACATATCTCGGCAGCATGATTGATAAACACGGTGGATCTGATGCAGATGTGAAGGCACGGATCGGCAAAGCAAGAGCAGTATATCTACAATTGAAGAATATCTGAAATTCAAAATAATTGTCAACAAATACCAAGGTCAGAATTTCCATTACAAATGTCAAGACAGTTCTACTGTGTGAGGCGGTAACTTGGAGAACTACGAAAGCTATCATTCAGAAGATACAAGTGTTCATCAACAGTTTTCTACGCAAAATACTTTGGATCCGTTGGCTGGACACTATCAGCAACAACCTACTATGGGAGAGAACAAACCAGATTCGAGCAGAGGAAGAAATTAGTAAGAAGTGCTGGGAGTGGATAGGACACACATTGAGGAAATCACCCAACTTCGTCACAAGGCAAGCCATCACTCGGAAACCTATATGCCAAAGGCGAAGTGGAATACTAACGAATACATTATACTGAGAAATGTAGACGAACATGCGAAAAATGAACAAAAAGTTGAATAAAAGTACAAAGGAATTCCTGGACAGTGTGTTGGAGAATGCTGGTCGGCGACCTATGCTCCATTGGGGGTTAACAGGAGTAAGTTAGTATGTAATATGGTGTAGGCTACTTAAATGAACTGTCATAAATAGTGTGTAATACTAATCAGAACTAGAAAACTAAGCAGCAGAAGGCTAAGAAGATCCAATTGAAGATCGTGATTCGGGAAAATTAGACCGAATGTGGAGGATAAATAATGAAAATTTACACATGACTTAGTGTATAGTTCTCATATTCAAGAATATCCTCTATTCATATTATTACTTTACTAAATCTGAGTCCATTGAATCAACCTTATTCATTTTTAATAGTTGAGATCGTTAATCAATTGAAGCTAGACTACCATGGAAAACATGGAAGCACTGGACGGCTATTTTCGTCCAATTATGGGGGACTCCTTAGCAGTACACATAAACAATCCCGCCTCGTGAGATTCTAACCCAGGACCTATCGGTTTTTCGTGCAAACACTTAACCTCTAGATTTCTAGACGAAACGGTCGTCCAATGCTTCCAGGCTTTCCATGGTAGTATGGCTTCAATTGACTCATGATCTCAACTATTAAAACCACTATAATATCCACAAAATACCCCTTATGTTACTGATTCATTTTTGTCAATAATATTCATCTACTTACAAGTAGTATATATTTTGAGAAATTTTTAAATTCAGTGTCGTAGTTACTATTCAATGAAACTGAAAATTCGTCGAAAATTTTTTATCTCTATCTTCTGATAGTAGAAAACTTTTCTTCACTTAATTTATCGAATTACTAGTAGTTAAATTTTAAATTTCTAAAAATTATATACCATTTATACCTTTTTTCCCTTCCTTACATACTTACGCCTGCTGACCCCCAGTGAAGAATAGGTCACCGACCAGCATTCTCCAACACACTCTGTCCTCCACCTTCCTTTCTAGTTCTATCCAATTGTTATTCATTCTTCTCATGTCTGTCTACATTTCCCGGTATAATGTGTTTGTCGGTATTCCTCTTCTCCTTTGGCCTTGGAGATTCCATGTGAGGGCTTGTCTTGTGGCGCGATTGGGTGCTTTCCTCAATGTGTGTCCTATCCACCTCCAGCACTTCTTACTCGTTTCTACCTATACTATGATCTGGTTTGTTCTCTACAACAGTAGGTTGTTCCTAATAGTGTCCGGTCAACGGATCCGAATTGTTTTGCATAGACAACTGTTGATTAATACTTATATCTTCTGGATGATTGCTTTCGTAGCCCTCCGAGATTCCGCCCCATACAGTAGAACTGTCTTGTATATAACCATGAACTTAAATCGCATCACTAAATAACAAGATTACATAAGTCAAATAAGGGGATGGATTTCGAATATGTATATTTCATACAACCGTTGATCAGGACAGACGATCAGGTGGACGAAATGAAGAAACCGAAATGAAATGACATACAGTGAATAAGATGAGTGAGCCAACTCCATTATATAAAGTGTCACTCAATATTTAAATCATAAAAAGAATAAATTGCAGACACATAGTGAATAGTGTAAGTAATTAACACAAATACAATCATATTAAAAACAGGTTCAATAAGCAAATAATTGGCTAGGTCAAAATGTATTTATTTGTTTGTTTATTTGAACAAATAAACATCGGCACAAGGGGGCACCAAATACATATGCGTCAAACAATAACAATGAGGCCAGCAGCAGTTATCATTGATTTGTGTGAGGGCTGTGATGCTCCCCAGGTATCCAAACTGAAGTAGGTAGTTTTCTTAGGCGGCCATATTCCTAACCTTTGACTTAGAGGTCCAATCCACAAAGCAGTGGCGCAACCTTAGGAGATATAGTCCCATGGTAGCCGTCGACCACAACAGGTTCATACTCCTTTGATTCCCTCAGAATCCTGGAGCCCATGTGCACCATTAGTTTGGAATCAGGGTTTTCATTTTCACAACAATCATTCTCTGTTCTCGTTCTCTTCCCTTCGATCTTCTTAACCTTCTGTCACCAGATATTTCACTTTCGATTAATGATACATACTACTTATATCTATATGTATCAGTAGCACACACCACAATACCAGTCATATGTTCATATGTTAGATGTTGATGTTACAAATTCAAAAGTGTGCTTATGAAAATCAATAGTGAAATCAACGAACGATGCAGTGCATAGAGTGACTACTATTGAAAAGTATTCAGAGATAAATGGATAAAGCGTTACAAGCATGTATTGAACTAAACGATTATATAATATCTATTATGAGAATTGATAAATCTTTCTATTAAGTGACATATGCATGAATGTAGAAATGTACCAATTGTGTAAGAATAAACAAAACTAGAGAAAAAAAATAACTGAAAGGAAGGGGAGAGATAATTGATGATTTATAACCTGTTCTAAAGTTTCTTAATCGTTGAATAAATTAAGGAAAGTGCTTATTACCCGTTTCTAATGGATTAAAGTAGATACCAACTACTTTGGTCATATGTTAATGATACATACATAAACTACAAGGTATATTAGTCGGAATACAATAAATCGCTCCCAAATGCCCTGGTACGGCCGAGAGTGTAGAGAGTGCGCTCTCCCTCTCTAAATGCTCTCACATGGTCACGTGTATATAGCTTCGACCAGTGAATTCCTACTCACTGCCTTCTCGTGACAGGGGTGTTGTTTACGAAAATGAGAGGACGAAAAGCGAGTGTCTGGTGCTTTAACCGGATTCCAAACCAATGGTGAACATGGGCTGGCTCCAGTATCCTGAGGGAATAAATGGCGTATGAACCAATCGTTGGTCACCGGCTTCCATGGGACTCCATCTCCTTACCATGCTCCACTGCCTTGTGGATCAGACCTTCAGGTCAAAGTCTCGGGGAGTGGCCCCTTAAGAAAACCACCTGCTTCGGTTTAGGCACCTGGGCAGTATCACAGCCCTCAGACATATCGAATGAGATTAGTGTGGCACATTTGTATTTGGTGTCTCCTTGTACCAATATCTATGTGTTTAAATAAAATAAATAAACAAATACAATAAATCACTTAAATTATTTTCTTCACATTTATTTGATAGCTTGGATATATTCAATAAACAGGCATAGAGCTTTCAAATAACCTTCATTTTCATTCTCTTAATTAAATAAGATAGATATTTGAAAACTTCAATGATGTAAATGCTTCATGATTGATCATAGTGCAAACAAATAATACAACTAGGACACTTAATTCCTTATAGAGAGTAAGAACAAAGATTGGTGCAGAGTAATAAATGGATTCATTTTATTTCGTTAGGTTCTCATCAGCTACTTACAACCTAAAATATTTGAAATTCAACATTATTACAGATATTGACATACTGATACATAAGAAGGTGATTAAGGATGAATACATGTGTGTCATGGTGTAGCGAAGATTCCGGCAGAGTTAATGAGGTCATAAAAATTGTTTGTTTCGAATAAATAAAGTTTGAGAGGGAAAGTTCTGGAACATTGAAATAGTGATTAGAACTCATGAAAATAGATTAATGGTAATAAAGAAGGATATAAATTCAAATCAGTCAGTTATGTAATTTTAGAATCCAGAAAGAGTTGGAATAGTTGATGACGTAATAAATAAATAAATAAATAAAAGGAGGGGATTAATGTTACCAGGGTAAAGAAAGGTTTAATACTGTCGCTTTTTGTATCCATAGATCTGATTTTAGACGTTTGATTGCTATTGCTTCGTCAAATTTCAAAAGATTTGAATTTGATTGTTTATGAATCACCATGATGGACTTCAATGTATCGACTTCGTGTCCTATGTCAAGGAGATGTCTTGCGATGGCATTGCTGAATGTTTTTAGTCTGTTTCATCTTAAACTTTTCGGAATATATTCTTTGAATCGGAAGTAGGCTCTCCTTTCTATTCTACCAATGTAACTGCTTTGGCAGATACATGTACCATTAGTCTATTTTCAGCTACTTCATTACATAATCATCTAATGTGTGTTTTTTAATTCCATGAGTTCTAATCACTATTTCAATGTTCTGGAACCAACCCTCCCAAACTTTATTTATTCGAAATAAACAATTTTTATGACTTCATTAACTCTATCGGAATTTTCGCTACATCATGATACACAAGTATTCTCCCATTAATCACCCTCTTATGTATAAGTATGTCAATCTTTGTTCTTACTCTATTTAAGATAATAAAGGGACCTATGTGTATGAAACTTAATTTCATATTCCTTCTTTCATCTGTTTTCTTCTTTTTCTTCATTTTTGTCATTATTATAATCTTAGGTAAATGTGATATATTTGGTAGTGATATGGATGATTTGCCTATATTGGGATATTCAGCTTATAATGTTAAATCATTAACATATTGTGAATTACAATGTATAGCATTAGATCATCAATTACAAGAAATATTTGATCAATATCCACAATTTCGAAAACAATTTGCTTTAGCCATTTCAGAAGAATTATCATTTAATTTAAGAGCTGGATTCGATCCAACTGTGAGTTCTTTATTCAATAATTTATATTTATATACAAAAAAATGTATCATTCAGTGTCATTGGTAATAACTGTCCTATTTACTAATTGAATTCACGAGTCGATTGAAGCTAGGCCACCAAGGAACACCTGGAAGCATTGCTTGGCCGTTTCGTCCTACTGTGGGACTCCTCGCCAGTAGGTATCCACGATCTTACCTCTCGAGATTCGAACCGAGGACCACTGAGTCGGCCGGCATCCAGCGGTAATAATGTCTAAATTCAACCAGGACTGATATGTCTTAGGTTCTAATCTTGCAAGGCGGGATCGTGGATGCACACTACTGAGGAGTTCCACAATAGGATAAAACGGCTATCCGATGCTTCCAGGTTTTCCATGGTAGTCTAGCTTTAATTGACTCATGGATTCAATTATTAAATTACTAACCTATTCTTGGTATGACTGCATTCTATCATTACTTATGACTAATTAATGGAAATTTTGTAATTCTTCTTAAAGTACGGTTAATATTTCGTTGAGTGGATTGTAAAGATGCGATCAGCGTGAATAGAGAATTTTCATGACAGTTTTGAAATGTCGTGGAATTATTGAAATTGCCGAAATGTAGTAAATGGAATATGCATTGGACCTATGCTATAATTGTACATAGTAAAGTAATTCCAACAATATATCTACCATTAATTTTGTTTATTTCCCAAGTTTTATGTTTACCACGTGTTCGTGAACATTCATAAATAGAACAATAATCTTATTCATCAGCATAGGGGTTGTGGAGATTATTAAGCTTTTGATTGAGATCATGAACTGATTGATGTTAGACCACCGTTGGAAACTTGGAAGCATTGGATGGCCAACTCGTCCTATTGTGGGACTCCTCAGAAATGCGCATGCACGATCCCGCTCGCGGGATTCGCACCCAGGGCCTTCATTGCTTAACCTATTGGACCACTGAGTCAGAATCTAACATCAACCAATCCACGAAATTGCGCGACCATCTTCCATTTTACTGAGCTAGGGACCTGTCTCTACCCGACACGTATTAGCTCCACTGGTCACAGCTTCTCACTAGAACTTTGAGAGTTCCTTCACGAAGCTAGTCACCAGTAAGTACATGTTAATTATCAGTATAGGGGTTATTTTATTCAATTGTTATTAGGAGTTCTGTGAGAAAGGAAATGATCTATAAGGACAATAAAACTACATATACAAACTGAATATATTGACCATTAAATCAATAAACATTACTATAATTAATATTTCATACACATAGTTCCCTTTATTATCTTAAATAGATCAAGAACAAAGATTGGTGCAGAATAGTATGAATTCATTTTATTTCGTTAGGTTCTCATCAGCTGCTTACAACCTAAATTATTTGAAATTCAACATTATTACAGATATTGACATATTTATACATAAGAGTGTGATTAAGGATCAATACATGTGTATCATGATGTAGCAAGCAAAGATTCAGATAGAGTTAATGAGCTCATAAAATGTTTGATTCGAATAAATAAATAAAGTTAGAGAGGGAAAGTTCTGGAACATTGAATTAGTGATTAGAACTCATGAAAATAGATTAATGATAATAAAGAAAATATGAATTGAAATCAATCAGTTATGTATGATGTAATTTATATTTCAGAAAGAGTTGCAATAATGACGTAATAAATAAATAAATAAATAGGAGCAAATTAATAGAAAGAGTGGGGGTTATTGTTACCAGGGTAAAGAAAGATTTATTACTGTCTCTTTTTGTATACATAGATCTGGTTTTAAACGTTTGATTGCTAACGCTTCAGCGAATTTCAAAAGGTTGGAGTTTGATTGTTTGTTCATCACCTTGAAGGACTTCAGTATATCAGCTTTATGTCCTGTATCAAGGAGATGTCTTGCGATAGCACTGTTGAATGAGTTCAATCCATTTAATCTTAAACTTTTCGGAATATGTTCTTTGAATCGGACGTGGGCTCTCCTTTCTATTCTACCAATGTAACTGCTTTGGCAGATATACGTAACATATTCCGAAGAGCTTAAGATGAAACAGACTAAAAACATTCAGGAGTGCCATCGCAAGATATCTCCTTGACATATGACACGAAGTTGATATACTGAAGTCCTTCAACGTGATTAAAGAACAATCAAACTCCAACCTTTTAAAATTTGCCGAAAGATTAGCAATCAAACGTTTAAAACCAGATCTATGTATACAAAAGGAGATAGTAATAAATCTTTCTTTACCCTGGTAACAATAACCCCCCCCCTTTTATTCATTTATTTCTCTATTTATTTATTGCGTCATTACTCCAACTCTTTTAAATTACATCATACATAACTGATTGATTTCAATTCATATTTTCTTTATTATCATTAATCTATTTTCATGAGTTCTAATCACTAATTCAATGTTCCAGAACTTTCCCTCTCTAACTTTATTTATTTATTCGAATCAAACATTTTATGAGCTCATTAACTCTATCTGAATCTTTGCTTGCTAGATCATCATACACATGTATTGATCCTTAATCACACTCTTATATATAAATATGTCAATATCTGTAATAATGTTGAATTTCAAATAATTTAGGTTGTAAGCAGCTGATGAGAACTTGACGAAATAAAATGAATTCATACTATTCTGCACCAATCTTTGTTCTTGCTCTATATAATTAATATATAATTGTCATTACTACTGAATCTTCTAAATGTAACTGTGAGTAACCTGTGAAGTTTATCCATTCAAGAAAATTGAAAATCTTAAATTAAACTATTGTTTACTTCTAATTTCAAACTACTTTAAATTCCTAAAATACCATGTAGGATCAATACATACATAAAATGGTGGTAGGTTCCTACTTGTCTACATTTGATATCGGTATTTTCGAATTTTTTTCGGGGGGCGGGAGAGGGTTTCTTTCCTAACTTTTTTTATAATCATTGATCTGAAAATAACCTGATAACACCCATTTCAAAAACCAAATACCACTGATCAACTGGAGCTATCATATACAACACACAATTAATCAGTTTCCATAGGACATAATTAGCCTTTGAGCTATGGAAAAACAATTAAATTAAAAGCTGTCTAAATGTTTACATCATTTAGATCTGAACAGTTTACTTGAATATATAGGAAAAGTCATGAACTACTTGATCAATTCACAAACTGATTAAGAGCTGTGTTTCTTTCATTCGAAACATCGTTAGTAACATTATAATTTTGAAATGATCATGTAAAGCTTCTACTCAGGTTCTGAAATAATAAAAATGCTTCCAATAAACGTTATAGAGCTCAGATGGACTCTACCTTTGTGTTATTTTCTGAAGATTTAGAAATATTTATCCTGGAATTTTACAATCAGTTGTCTGTCTGTCTTTTCAACATACACAACGTCATAGTCGGTATATGTGATATCATGGACATGATTTTATAGCTACTTCTTTAGTGAATTTTCGGAAACATTATTGCTGGTATCGTTATGATGGATGGTAATATTATGACTTACCCATTCTTAACAAGAGACCTCTAGTGAAATATATTTTTTTGAGTACACATTAGAACTCACAAGTGTTTCGATCGATATTATATTCACAGATTTCTATCAGTTACAATAACATAACCTTACTTCTATATGTAATAACACTGGTACAACAGAAGGCTGGGGATGCTAGATCCCCAGAAATCACTTAGTAAACGTCTTATTTATGTAAGTTTATTTTGAACAATTGAGTTTCTCATTTTCGCGTCAAAAGCACTCTTATTTACCTTACCCACTTGGAAGGACACCTTAAATTTCATTGGTTTGTTCCCTTCTTTAATACACTATTTCATGACATTTACCAAGGACATTTTTATACTGTTTATGTACGCATAAGTTGTATGCTTGTTCGTTCGAACTTCTGACTGCTTGTGGAATATACATCTAATCTTCTCCTTCTAGTTAACAAGGATGAGATGTAGTTATTATTTTTATTATTATTATTTTAACAAATAAGTATTAGTACAAGGAGGCATCAAATACATATGCGCCACACAGATATGTGTGAGGGCTGTGATACTGCCCAGGTGCCCAAACCGAAGCAGGTGGTTTTCTTAGGAGGCCACACCTAGAACCTTTGACCTTAAGGTCTGATCCACAAGGCAGTGGAGCATCGTAAGGAGATGGAGTCCCATGGAAGCCGGCCACCAACAATTGGTTTATACGCAATTTGTTCCCGCAGGATACTGGAGCCAGCCCATGTTCACCATTGGTTTGGAATCCGGTTAAAGCACCAGACACTCGCTTTTCGTCCTCTCATTTTCGTAAACAACACCCCTGTCACGAGAAGGCAGTGAGTAGGACTTCCCTGGCAGAGGCTATATACGCGTGGTCGTGTGGGAGTGCTTCCGGCGGGAGAGCGCACTCTCTCCACTCTCGGTCATACCAGGGCATTTGGGGGTATGAGGTGTAGTAGAATAGCTTAGCTTCTACTGTTGTTATGTTGCTGATTTTCATTTCGTTCACCAGTTTCAAGTGATATCTTATACACTTTAAACTTTGAAACTGAAATAATAGCTGTTATCTAATAGATATCGCTTCATAATAATGTCAGGCTGTGAAATATACCAAGAAGAATATAAATCTATTTCAACACATTTTTGATTGAGATCATGAACCAATTGATGTTAGACCACCGTTGGAAACCTGGAATCACTGGACGGCAAACTCGTCCTATTGTCGGACTCCTCAACAGTGCGCATCCACGATCCCGCTAGCGGGATTGGTTGATGTTAGACAGTAACACCAGTGGATGCCGGTCGGCTCAGTGGTCCAGTAGGTTGGGCGTTCGCGCGCAAGAATGAAGGCCCTGTGTTCGAGTCTCGCGAGCTGGGTCGTGAATGTGCACTGTTGAGGTGTCCCATTATAGGACGAAATGGCCGTCCAGTTCTTCCATGTTTTTCTTGATAGTCTAGCTTCAATCGGTTCATGATCTCAGTCAAAAACTTAATAATCTCCACAATCCCTATACTGATAATCAACACATTTTGTTTACCATGGAATATCATATATATAAATATATTTAAACACAATATAGTTGAATAATACTCAATTCATTGTATATAAATAAGAAAAATAAAACAGACAAAACTCACTTATTTATAGTCCTTACCTAACATCATTTGTAATTTAATTCTTGTTTTGTTTATTTTAGTCATCTTTAGAGCTGATTCCCGCAATCACTGTCACTACTGATAAGACTACAGATTTCGAAGATCATTCCGATGATGATGATATGAGTAATAAATCTCATGAAATAATCAATGATGAATGCATTTTACTAACTAATTCACAGAATAAAACATCAGTGAACAAGAAAGACGACGATGAAGATGATGATGATGATGATAATGATGACGATGATGATGACGATGATAGAACTATGACCCATGAATTCGGTAAACAATTCATAAATATAAAAACAAGAAATTTAAAAAACTCTCTAAACGATCATCGTCTTGACAACCAATTAAATGTGAAACAAATAAAACTATTTGAAAATTTAAATTCTTCGCAAAAAATTAAAAAAAAATTTATTCATATCAAACAAAATTCATTAGATTTATATACAAAACATTTTGAAAAATTCAATAAATTAAATCATACTTTATCTATTGAACAATTGAATCAATTGGATAAAACAAACAATATTAATACTACTATTAATACTACTCATAACACTAATAATAGTAGTAATAATCATAATTGGGATAATAATGAATATAAGAAGAAGTTTTACTTTCATTATCCAATTATGAATTCATTTCATTCATTTGAAAATCTTATGGACAAATCTAAAATGAATATTACAAAATTATACTTAAATTATAAATGTAAATCATTCGATGATATTTATCATCTTGGTAAATCATTTAGAACTTATATTCGAAATGAATCTATGTAAGTTATTTGATTTGAATGAATTGAGATCATAATTGATAAATGAATCAATTATGTTACAAGTGTGTTATAACTTGTGGGCCTGTATGCCTTGTATGTTGGATAACGCAACGATACCGCCAATTAGAGAATAGTGAATTATCGATCGGATCAATGATGCATAAAACACATACGACCAGTCTACAGTCCTTATCAGTCCTGCTTACCGCCTAACCATGCCTGTTAAGTCCAGAACATCATTCGTAGTTTCTGCAATATGAATCATGTATTTCAAACATACTTGGTTTAGGTACCAACCAGACAGACCACATCTTACCATAAAATAGGAAACAACATTTGTACAAGATTTGGTCGAATGTGGCTGTGAATGTGGGAGGTAGTGATTAATAGACAAAGCATTACTCAAGAATGATGAATCGTATAATAACAGTTCATAAGTCAAAATAAAACTCATAATGAGAGGGACATGAATATGAATAGTTTAGTCATTTAACAATTATATGATAAAAATACATGTATAGTATTGGTTCATAAATAGATCCCAAAAGTTACCATTTATTATTCTTATTGAGATATAACAACAAGATAACAGGTTTCCGATGTTTGAATGAGAAATTCATTCATTCATTCATTTGGATAAATAAAGCTTTGACATTCATAGCTGATGTCAGTTTGTGATGAAACCTCTAAATCTTATTTCTAACCTTAATCATCAACTGTAAATCATAACTCGAATTCCTAATACAGGTATATAACCCTCATTTGTTTGTAGTTATCATGTGGATACTCTGAAGGTCAATTGATTGTCACTTAAAGATCGTCCATAAATGATAGTCTCACCGAAATTTTCCTTGCAAATATCTTTTGTTTTTCCAGATTTGGAATGTTGAAGTTATTTAGTGCTAGATGAAGGAATTTCACTGTTTCATATAAGACAATTTTTTAAAATACAGAATATGATTGAGCATTTAGAATATAAGTCATAAGTAGTCTGTTGGATTAATCCCTAAACTGAGTTGATAAAACAAAGAGTACATTATTTTAAGCAAAGATGGATAGTTGGTAGTAGTGGAATACAGGATGCGCATTTCATCCTATTTGGGACTCGTTAGTTGGATGTACCTGAATCTTAGAATTCATGTTTAAACTTCAACCCATTGCACAAGCAGGTAGCTATCAGGAGTCAGTAGTTAAATGGATAATGTGATGGTGTTTCAAGCGAACGGTGCTGGGTTTGATTCCCAGAGTGAACATCAATTCTGAGTTGCAGGTACATACAATCTTCACGACCAAATCATCCAACTCAGAAAACAACTCAATCAAAATCTTGTTAGCCAATATCCATCTTTGCTTAAAACGCTTGTGACTTAAGGCTATATATAAGCAATCCGCACAGGATGCATATAGGCCAAGAAGAGACTGATCAACTGTAGTCCTAAATAACAATGGGAAGATACATGTAAAACAACACCAAGTGAATTTCTGATTATGGTGAGAAAGAAACAGGATTTAAGTTATTAATAAGTCGTGGATGTGCATTGCTGAGGAGTCCCACAATAGAACGAAACGGCCGTCCAGTGCTTTCAGATTTTCCACGGTTGTCTAGCTTCAATTGACTCATGAATTCAATTAATAAATTAATAAACAATAAAGTAATCATGAAATATACTAAATGTTATTGATAATAGAGCTGACAAATTCAATACTTAGATAGGTCGTAAAACAAAGAATCATTTCCTTATTTTACTGGAAAATGGAGATGATATAAATATATTTTTGCCTAGATCTGACTCTAAGTAGATAGTATAATTGATTGTTATTGAAATATACATATTGTCTATACTCGTATATTTTATCGACTTAACTCACGTTGGTGTATAACGCAGTGAAATAAGTCAAATACAAGAATGTATATATATATATATATATATATATATATATATATATATATATATATATATATATATATATATATATATATATATATATATATATATATTGATAGCAATATTTCGTACAATCCAAATGAATTTTGTTGAAGTTTTGTTCTCTGGGCTGGATGGTTTGATCGGGGAGCTTTCATCTTTCTTCTGAACGACATCATCAGAAAAAACTTCAGGTAGAAGAGAAGTGTTTGAATTTCTTCACATGTGGTTCCCCGCTTGCTCTGTACGCCTTGATGTTGATTGGTTCTTGTTGATCTTAAACCTATCATTGTTTACTTGACAGGTTTAAGGTCAAGTTACTTAAGTGCGTACTTACGTGTTAACTCCTCGTCTAGAAGCATAGGCCTTTCACCAGCATTCTATGTTCAGCCCTCTCCTGGGTATTCCTTCCCAGTCTTTTCTAGTTGATATTCATCATTTTAACGTCTGCTTCCAATTCCCGACGTAATGTGTTCTTTGGCCTTCCTCTTTTCCACTTCCCTTCAGGATTTCATGTTAGAGCTCACCTCCTGATGCAGTTTGATGATTTCCACAATGTATTTCCCAATCATTTATAATATCTTTTCTTGATTTCCTCTTCAGCTGGAAGTTGGTTTGTTCTCTTTCATCGTAGATTGTTACTAATGATATCCGATCAACGTACATTCAGTATCTTACGTAGACAACTATTTATAAATGTCTATATCTTTTTGATGGGTAATTATATCATAACCCTAGCTTATATATTATATCAAACTTGTAATTCATTATAAACTTAATCATTACATAACTACACTTCACTTCTACCTAAAGTTTGTACTGATAATGTCGTTCAGAAGAATAATGAAAGCTCTACAATCAAATCATTCAGCTCAAAGAATAAAACTTTATCAAAATGATCCACCTGAACTATAAATCTCCACCATCTCATAATCCAAATAAAGTCAAATCTTGGACCACTAAAAATACACTTTCATTTCCAGAACATTATCAATCATTTCTAATCAATTGTGAGTATTTATTTATTTATTTTAACACATAGATATTGGTACAAGGAGGCACCGAATAAATATGCGCCACACTAATCTCATTTGATTTGTGTGAGGGCTATGATACTGCTTGAGTACCGGAACTGAAGCAGGTGGTTTTCTTAGGAGGCCATTCCCCGAGACTTCGACCTGAAGGTCTTACCCACAAGGCAGTGGAGCATCGTAAGGAGATGCCGTCCCATGAGAGCCGGTGAATAACGACTGGTTAATTTGCCATTTGTTCCTTCAGGACACTGGAGCCAGCCCATGTTCACCATTGGTTTGGAATCCGGTTAAAGCACTGGACATTCGCTTTTCGTCCTCTCATTTTCGTAAACAACACCCCTGTCACGAAAAGGCAGTGAATGCGACTTTCCTGTCAGATGCTATATACGCGTGGCTATGTGAGAGCGTTTCGAGAAGAAGAGCGGACTTTCACCACTCTCGGCCGTACCAGGGTATTTGGGGGCAAAATGTGGCAACTGGTTGTTGCAATTGTGAGTACATTTGTTTTTACACCAATAATAATAATAAGTTTCAATAAACATTTCACTTTTATTGTATTACTTTTAATTATTTTAACAGTTATAATACTGACAGTTACGGTGAAGATGAAAATTACAATCAACTAAATGATGTGTTCATCAATTCAAACAACATTAACAATACTACCACTACTCCTCCTCCTACTCCTGCTCCTACTACTACTATTAACAATAATAATAATAATAATTATAATAATTATTATAATAATAGTAGTAGTAATAGTAATAGTAATAGTAATAATGCTAATGATAAAGTAACAAAACAAAATCAGCTGATTTCAACCCTTTGTATTAATTTCTATCAAACCCAAAATGATATTACTTTAATCAAATCAGAATTGATACAAATGAATCAAAAACTTGATAGAATACAAAAAGATTTTAATGAATTTACTAAATTATTTATTAAAAATGAAAATTCATTCAATAATCAATCCATACATCTTAATACTTCTAATAATAGTAATAATAATAATAATGAGAAACGATTGAAAACGATACATTCAGTTGCTGGGAATGATACTGTCTCTTCAACACAAACAAACATTGCTCATAGTAACAATAATAATAATAATAATAATAATAATAGCAGTATTAGTAATAATAATGTTAAAAATTCAAAAGATGGCTTATCCCCTTCTAAATCTATTATACCAACAACAATAATGAATTCACGTCCATGTTTACATCAATATGGTAGAACACATCATTATTCACCAGAGAATCGTGTAGTGACATTTCAATTACCACCACGTAATTATGATTTTCGTAGTCAAAGTTTAACTAGTTCAAGACAAATTTCACCTGAAACACCAAAATCTAATCCAATTAAAAAATTATTACATAAACATCCATCTATATCACATGATCTTAATTAAAATAGATATTGTACTTTCAATATTACATAGACATATGATATGTACATTGTTTACTCATTAACATATATATATATATATTTCAATGGTTAAGATCATGAGTCAGTTGAACCTACACCGCCATAGAAAACCAGGAAGTACTGGACGGCCATTTCGTCCTATTGTAGGACTCCTCAGCAGTGAGCATCCACGACCTTGCCTCCTGCTGAGGAGTCCCACAATAGGACGAAACGGAAGTCCAGTGCTTCCAGATCTTTCATAGTGCTTAAGCTTCAACTCACTCATGATCTTAACCATTGAAATTACTACAATCTCCACAAAACCCATTTGATATATATATATATATATATATATATATATATATATATATATATATACACTCATTTTGTATACATTCACTAAAACGATACACATTCACTTCTATCGAAATGGGTTCTTTTTTCTCCTTTTTTTCAGATATCATTTTTGTTTTGTTTTTTTTTCTATCATTTTCTTCTTATTTCTATTCATGTACAAAGAGAAGAATTTGGATGGAAATTATTTTGTTTGATTGTAACATTTCTAAAAGTATCTTTACACATGTTTATTCATCTAATTTTGTGTATGTATGTGTGTATGTAAGTGAGTGAATGTTTCATTATTACCAGACAAGATGTACTAATCATTAAATAATTCGATCATGTTATGATTTAGTTATATATGAGATGTAGTTAGAATTAACATTATCCTTCCTCAGCAACAACAACAACAACAGCAAGAAAGTTGTTTTGTATACGTTAGAACCTCAACTTATTTTTTATTGATAAGCCCTTTACTCTTTCTTCTCTTTTTAAAGGAAAAAAAAGAAAAAGAAAATATATATATGTATACAAAAACATACATTTTTTTCTTGTATCTATGTGTATATTGATCAAAGATGCATAAAGTGAATAAACCACTACATTTCAATGTTCAATATCTTCAATGATAAAAAGCATGAGAATTAAATTTTGAAGAAAAAAAGCGAAAAAAGAAAAGAAAAAAGAAAAGAACAAAGAGAATGCAGTGAATTAGATTGTATTATTATTATTATTATTATTATGATTGTTGAATTTAATGAATTTACATTTGGGGGGGAATTCCTTCTATTTTGTAGATTTGTATCAAATATATTTTTTTAAATTTAAATTAAAGAAACTTTTATTTGGTTTATTTACATGTTCCTCAAACGATGTTAGTTACTGTAAAGGTAAAGTTAAACTCCTCTCAATATTTCAGCTAAGCGCCCCCAAATGCTCTGGTACGGTCGAGAGTGGGGAGAGGTCGCTCTACCTCTCGAAGTGCTCTCGCATGGCTACGCGTATATAGCCTCTGCCAATGAAGTTCTACTCACTGCCTTCTCGTGGCAGGGGTGTTGTTTACGAAATTGAGAGGACGAAAAGCGTATGTCCGGCGCTTTAACCGGGTTGATGGACACAGAGAATCCAACTGGGGTAGTTGGAAAACCCTAATTCCAAACCAGTGGTGCGCATGGTCCCCAGTATCCTGAGAGAACAAATGGCGTACGAACCAGTCGTTGTTAACCGACCACCATGGGACTACTTCTCACTATGCTCCGCTTCCTTGTGGATCAGACCTTTAGGTCGAATGCTCCGGATGTAGCTCCTTAAGAAAATCATTTGCTTCGGTTTGGGCACCCACGCAGTATCACAGCCGTCACACAAAACAAATGAGATTTGTGTGGTGCATATATATCTGGTGCCCCCTTGCACCAAGATGGATGTGCCCAAATAAATTAATAATTTCAGCTAAGCACACTAAATACTTACTGTTTATACAATATATAATACTTTAAGTAATGACAGATGACGCCTGTGATAATATTGAAAATCATTGACCAAAGAGTAGGTATATGATTCAAAATTCTTAAAATTTAAGCATAGAAAGCTTTAATCTATCAACAGGACACAAAATGCGGATATCATAAAGTGAAAATATTTTACAACTCACAGACCATTGAGTATTGGCCAATATTATTACATAGGTCATTACTCAATGATCAATCAACTGTCAATAAGTCTCAGTCCTGAATAGCTTAATGGTAATGTCTATTATTATGAAGCTGGGTGGCATTTGACTGAGTTCGCCAGGTACCATCAATTCCCTCAAAACTATAGTCACACCTATCTAACAAGTGTCATGTAGGAGGAAACTTGAGTTTAGGGTTTTCAATCAACTACCTTCAACCACCATCTTAGATGAACATATTTACTAGACAACAGGATAAGATTTTCATTAGTGAATATAGAACAATAATACACAAGAATAAAAGTCGCTTAATTGAGAGTAATATTGTAGTGAAGAGAACACTAGTGGGGACATTCGAAAAGATTTATCACGACATCACAGAGCATCTCAATAAAATCTGAGAACCATATATTAAATAGTTAATTTGCAAAATATCAGTCCATCGTCTCAAACTTCACTGTTTCTTTTATAAATATCAGTCCATTGTCTCAGATTTTATTGCTCATGCATTTTCATACCAATTGCGTTCCATTTCCGTTCTTTCCTTATCGATCTTCTGCTGAAATACATTCTATGCCTGACCACTGTTATACACTACTTATGTGGATATAAGTAACCCACACCACAATATGAAATAGCCCGTTTTAGGCAGAATAATCCAAATACTAACGTATAATTCAGTTAGCCTATAAAAAAAACTTCAAAATCTCATCCTTTCTACAATTGCAAAATGATGAGATTCGCACTGTTTATTTAACTTGATCTGTCATAATAGATACTCAGGATTATTCCTATCTAAAACTGAAATTATTCAATTTAAGTAGTATTTGTCGTGAATGCACGAATTTTAATTGGGACTGTGATGAAATATTTCTTATACAAAATGACTGTTCAATAAGTACTTCTTAAACTGTTTTACCATACTCTAAAGAAACCAGATTCATCGTTAGTTGTCAGCTAATCTTCCCGTATATTCGTATCAGTACAATTTGAAGATGAAACCGTGCTTCAGTGCTTCCAGGTTTTCAGTGGTGGTTTAGTACTGATCCAATCGTGAATTCAGCTGTTTAAGTACTACAATCTCCACAAATCCCCGTACTGATACTAAAAGAAGTTAGTATTTTAATGAATACAGACATGTTTAATGAACATAATTGTATATTCATTTTAAAATACGATATCTAACTGAGCATGTCACTGTCAAATGCATTAGCTCAATTCTATTGGGTAAATTGTGCTCTGTTGTATGATTAATTTGAATACCCTTATATGAGAATTCCTCCAGTATTCCTTTGTTTGGTTGTCAGTCTACCTATGAATTGACTATATCCCCTTATTATATTGATTTACAAATACTTAAGACACTCTGACTAATTGACACTACGGACAGTCTGTATTGATTTTTCCACGCAATGCCGATTTGGCTAGTCTAATGTAGTTCTGTCATCATTTCACTACAATGCAATTGCTGGTTATTCCATTGTCAGTTTTATTTTTATTCTAATACAATTGCTGGTGTTTATAAGTGACAGTGCCAAAGTAAATCCAGTTCATTTTTTGCTACTAGAGCATATTTCGAACATAACAGATGATTTCTACATTATATACTACATTCAGAACTGCTACCTGTTCTAAGTTCATATTGTATTGTTCTGGGCCTATTGTCATGTGAACAATGTGTCATATTCAGAGACTTGACAACTGAAAACACAGCCACGTGTAACATTTTTAGTCGACGGGATCGCCCAAATTATGTCCTGATAGCCTATTTATCACCTTTATTCTACTCAGCTGAAGCCATTGTGCAACTTTAGAACTATATTTGTCACAAGATAGGAAGGTTAAACGTTCACTGAAAAAATCGAAGCATGAAAATTTGAGGTATTTGTGCTGATTGATGATTTCTTCTGCACATGGCTAATTTATTTTTTTATTTGATGGGTTGGGAGAATGTCTTAAAGTTGTATATTGCTATTTTGTGCATAACTCACGAAGAAAGTACAAAATATAGTGACTTCATACATGCTTAGGAGAATTCATTTTTACTTCCGCGTGCGGCACGAAATTAATGGATTATTTTTATATTTCCTGTAGTCGTATTGTGTTGTGCAACATTTTCGCTTACATGCGGTAATTTTTGTCGCGTTTGGTACAGTTCGGAGTACTTTTTGAATATCCTTTGATAGTATGGGTCGATTATGTGCTAAACAGAGACGGGATAATTTAAAGACAGAAAATAAAGTTACTCGAAAAGATAATTTAGCATTGTCATTGTAGTGTCAGTCATTATTTTAAGCCCATAATATATCTTATTCTGGTTTTTGGACAGCCCAATCTATTCATTCTACTTGAGTCATATTTTGACCTTGTCAGTTATTCGCTTATCAGTCTTGACTGTTTTTTATATGAGTGTACATGTGTGTACACTTCATATCCCATGTCTCATCACATGTGTGTAGTTTACTTCGTCTGCCTATAAATATTGAGTAACGCCTGGCTGAAAAGGAGTTGGCTTCTCAGCCATCTCCCCTGCGCGGCATTTTGCTTTTTTCTATCGTATTCACTTTATATTCAAAATAAATGTATTCAAAGGCCATTCCCGTTAATTGACTTATCTAAATTCAGTTATTGACTAACGTAATTTGAGTCGATAATTGTATACAAGGATAGGTGATAACGAACATTCGTACGATCTAAATGGAGTCAGATCCATGGGCCACTAAATCATCTACTAACCTCCGTTTGCACGTGTCGATGATAGATTATGATATTGTAGCAGGTCTTTACCAATAGTTAGCGCAAAAACATCTGCAACAACGGAAATCTAGTGAGCGTGTTTGAGTAGACCTGTAGTGGCATTGGGCCTTAACCACATAATCCTCAAAGCTGAACACGAGACATCTGGGAAAATAGACATTCACCGTTTAACGCGGAGAAAAACCCAACGATGGAGAAGGCGGGAACAGTGGATTGAATTATTTGAAATTATTGGATGGCATGGCTCAGCCTTGCAGGCGTGGTCACTCTTGAGTGTTGCCATATATCTTATTCATATTAAATATGTTGTTCTGTCTCTTGCGCAAGCTCGTTCTACATCATATATTGGTGGTTGTTACGATGCGAAAAGTTGGTGTAGACTATGATGTGACTTCCACGTAGATTAGACAGTTGCATCATGACGAATCTACAATTTTGGGATTAAGTCTATCATTACAGTACTATTAATATCGAAGTAGACCATCATTCTACAAACCCACGTTAAGATAAACATAACGTTTACTGTATATGGCAATCGGCTTTTCATATGCTGTCTGTAACTTGGAGACTAGTTCATGCAGACAGTTGTTATGAGAACAACGCCAACTTTTGCTCCAGTGTCAACGAGTTAGCTAACTTTTGTCATCACATCAGTGATATACAACAGATATCTGTGGTCGCCAGCTACGGTTACCGTTGACGCGTATCGGCAGGGAACTTTCTCGAAAACGTTTTCGTGTAGGACGGTTTGAAGCCCGGGAAACTGTGATGTTTTTGCGATTTCTGGAGGACTTACCATATCTATTGTGGTTCACCACCGATCTGGATTATCCGCCTTCCGTGGTCTTGAGACAGACCCTTTTCGTGAAGAACTATTTAGAGCAGTTTTGGTAGCTTCTTCGATTATGAAGAATACTAAGATAACGAGTCAGAGTTTGGCATAGGTCTGTGACATCATTTTCTGTGGTTTGAGGCTTTTATTTTACAGAATAAACCTCGGTGTCTGTGGTTCTGTTAATCTCCAGAATCCCATCGGCAGATACGTTCGGTTTGTACACGGCATCATTTTGAGATGAGACAAGAACCACCTACGCCTGTTGGAGAAGCTTAGACAAGATCTGTTTTAACAAGCCTTCGCCAAAGGTTCGTTGATAAATGACCTCTGGCATACGTAGCATCATTTCTATTGTTGAACTGTGTTGCAAATCGATGTTGTAGAATAGCTAGTCGGTTAGATCTCCACCTTTAAGGACAACCTTCTTTAAAGTGTTGTAAAAAGCACCACTAGTAAACATAATAGGCAATACGTGCCTGTTAAGAGCACGGAAGATTATACACGTTGGCGTATCATGCCGTGCTCAGGCAAGCCAGCTTCTGTGTAGCGGAATCAAGCTCCCATACTGTCGGGCCAGAATGTCATGAGCTGAAATGTGGGAGGCGAAAGTGTCTTAATCTGTAATAACTAAGGTCCATTTTCCGTCACGATGAAGACATAATATATCAATCAACGAGAAAAGATGTCCGAAAATATGAAAACAGCATCACGATGTGTAAAAATAAACATTGAAAAATTGTTATGTATTATTCCGATAAGGAACAGACCCACAGTTTGCTGTTTGGTGTACAAGGTCACGTCGGTCTCATCACTAAAGATGCCACAGGTATTCGCAGTTTAACAACGCCTTACACATAACCCTTCTATAAATCAAGGATACTAACTCAGTCAAATCAGAAGACAGAAGTGAAGGGGTTCGAGATATATTTGAAAAACTATCGATATATCGCGAATCATTTAGTCTAAGCTGGCTATCAGATGCAAGAGATGAGTAGCACGGCATAACTACTCGTTGTCCTGTGCGGATGCGTAACCAAGCGCCTTCTATTAGGTGTGTCCAGCGAAACTAATGACATCAGCCTCAAATGTCGAAGACTGACAGGACTATTTATTTTGGCGATTTGCTTACTGATACAAACACAATGGTGTCGTGAATTTGTAGTGACTCAGATTTATCACGAGAACACGACGCCACGCTACAATTGGTGGTTCCAAAGTTTGGAACACGCCTCAACCTCGAGTCAAATCTTCCAAAGAAGCCAATTCGGTGAGTCTATGATTTATCTATCCACGTCTGTCGTATATTTTCATATTTTTTAATATATAATACACTCGACATGACGGATAACGATAAGAATAGTATTAACATAATAGACTCACATGTACGTGTACCGAATCCTTGTTACTTTTTATTCGCGTGACGATGAATCCACGCTTTATTCGAGAAATTTTCCCCTATTAACTATTCTCCTCGCTGACCCGGCTGCTTGGTACGGAATGCGTACGCATAAGCATATCCGTCTACCACCCAGCACCAAATGGTTAAGTAAACGGTTTCACTGCCAACTTAAAAAGTGCTCTACGAGCACACGAGAACGACAACTGGTACGAAACCTTATCGCTCGTCCCCTGAAGTATTCGAACGAGCTTGAAGACAGATATACAATGTTCCGCCGCCGAACTGGTATACGGCACGACATTGCGTCTGCCCGGAGAATTCTTCACACCACGGAGCAGACCTGATTTCGGTAAATCAGACTACGTCCATCGACTGTCTGCATTAATGCGAACGCTGTCTCCGGTGTCAACTCGAATACAACATCGACAGGTCGCTCTCCCTCGAGAGTTATCTACCTGTCCACATGTTTTTGTACGAGTAGATTCGGTACGCAAACCTTGGCAACAACCTTACGAAGGCCCTTTTCACGTGATCGCTCGTCACGAAAAGACCTTCAAGGTTGATCGACATGGCCGCGTCGAGATCACCAGCGTTGATCGTCTCAAACCAGCACACGTCGATGACAGTGCCCTATCTGGTAACCTGAGATTCAATGCTAGACCTATCAAACCTAGCGGGATCCTTTAATCTTCTTCAGGTCCCACGCTAGGTACACCTGAGACCTCATTCCCACGTCCCTGTCAACAGCACGCGTCATCTGCACCGTCTACGGATGAGACGACAGTCTCACGTCCAGATCAGCAGACCACGCCGCCCTTGACTTCGGATGAGATTGCAGGCTCACGCGACGCGAACGAGACTACCGTCTCACGTTCCGGTCGCCGAGTACGGTTGCTCGTACGCTTCCGCGATTAGTCGCAGTCAACAACCGATACGGTGTAGGACTATTCCTATGCTGCATGCATGCTACACCCTTCTCTTTTTTTGATTTTCTTTTTGTTTCCTGAGCCTACGCCCTCGACCATCTCCGTTTGGTTCCGTCGACTTCAGTCAACTTTGGCGAAAGCTGGACTGGCCACCCATGCTCTTGTCAACGCACTCAGTCGATATATTGGTTTCGAATGCTTGGCATACGCCTGGTCTCGAACTTGGTCGTTACGGTCGCTTCTGGTCTTTTGGCTCAACGTGGTTTCGTCCTACGTCTGCAGCGTTTCTGGTCCGGACCCCTACGAACGCCATCTTCAGATTCTGGATACAAACCACTCTGGTAGCATGCCAACTCAAGCAATAAATAAAACACATCGCTCCTGGTACCGTTCTCCGAAAACGACCTTCGTTGGCAACTCGACGATCAACGATCGCTTTCCTGTTCGCCAATTCCTCCGTCCTACAATCGCTCATCAGCCGATCAGTCCCACGATTCAAACCGCTATTTATCGAAAGTGTGAACCCTTTCTAGGGGGGGGGGCTCCTGTAGTGACTCACATTTATCACGAGAACACGACTGGTTTATTAAAAACAATTATTATTATAACCAAGTGTACCAGTGACTGTTTTAATGTGCTTTTGTTTGACTGTGCTAATGACAGCTATTTTGTGCTTCCATTCTTATACACACACTTCGATTGTAACTTCGCGCGAATTCGGTTACCCTCTGTAATCAAGGCTGTATCTTGGCACGATCTCGGTATCCTCTCGATACCACGAGATCGCCAGCAAATATACACCTCGATTTGGTCCATTAATTGCCTTCTGGTATTTGGCTTCTTGGGGATTTTATGGATCTATTTGGTTACGTCCAACCCTCGCCTTCTGATTCATTTGGCTCGTGTTTCTTGGTTGCGGTGTTCATAGTTAATCTCAACTCGACACCACGCTACAAATTAATGTGACCGACTGATATAAATCGATTCATAATGTTTCCTGACCATTTTACGTCTAACTGTAATGTTATTGAGCATACTGTTTACATACGTATCTAACTTAACTATCCAACACTTAATTTTCCCTCATCAGTTACTCTTAATTGGAACATTTTTATGCCTACTTAGTCTGGGTATGAATGTTCTCTCAGTTGTGCAAATGACCACTGTAGTGTCAGTTATTATGCCAAGCCCATATACCTTATTCTAACTTTCGGACATCCCATCTATTCATTCTACTTGAGCCATACTTTGACCTCGTTATTTATTCGCTTATCAATCTAGACTGTTTTTTATATGAGCGTATATGTATGTGCCCTTCTTATCCTATTAATCACATGTCTGTAGCTTTATTTTGTCTGACTATAAATATGGAGTAACGCCTGACTAAAATGGAGTTGGCTTCCCAGCCATCTTCAGTACGCGTCATTTTGTTTTGCTCTGTTTCATTCGCTTCATATACAAAATATATGTATTCACAAATCAATTCTCGTTATTCGACTTATTTAATTCCGTAATTGGCTAACGCGATTAAGTCGACGATTATATACGAGAATAGGCGATAGCAAACATCCATACGATCTAATTGTAGTCAGATCTATGGGCCACTAAAATGGTGAGCCCCTCAAAGAACATCGTCCGATCTAAACAACGACAAAACAACGGGCCACAAAACCACATTGCTCGTTGTATACTTGCAGCTGTACTGATGATTGCAATGAATAATATTTCGAGCAAGTTCTTACTGCCTCATTAATTTATATCTATTCCTCTTCGTATGAGTCGCAAACTGTATAAATTGAATTAACGTATCAGAGACAAACTCTTATTTGTCACCTGCATTAACGAGATCTGTCGACAAAAGATACTTGAGATAAGTGACGTTTTCTATCCCATAATTGTTGACTTAAGATGGTGAAAAAGCATACAATATCAGCTAAGCCCTCTTAGCTTCATTTCCTGCCGTCCTAAAGTAAATACACAAGTTTCCTCACACCGGGATTTCATTTACTTCCTCCAAATCTTTTTTGTGTCTGTGATATGCAGGATATAATGTTTTGTAAACGGTGTCATTCGATGTAACTGACTCAACCATTTCATTGGTTCTACAATGAAGTAACGAACAACAAAAATAATAAAAACTCGTTTGTAGTAGTTCTTCATCACGACTTGTTTTAAAAAATCCTAATGTTTCAACTAGTATGAAATCTTCTCTTCAATAACTTTGTTTGTTTATACTGCAGTGTTTTGGCACTCATTTACTATTTGGATAAATTCTCGCTTAGTTTCTGGATTCTCGTTATCTATTATGTTCTTGTTGGCACTTTCTTAACAATGAGAATATTAGATAATAGATAATCTTTTTCATCACCATTTTTTATGAATATTCCCAGGTAATATACGTCTAGTTTCAAAGTATTCACCAGTTAATAAAAACTTGCTAGTAGTCATCAGCAATTATAACTGTAGTGTCCACTTCGTACAGCATTCGTTTAAATCAGATTGCTTGACACCTACTGGTATATTACTGCTAGCACGTCATTATACTGTAGTACTTCTTAACTTTCTGGATCATTAAACATCACGTCGTACGAATGCCAAAAATCTTTTTTCAATCAAATTAACTCTACCGCACAACAAATATGTCTTAATGAGGCAAATTTTAGTTGCGTTTCACACTTCGGTGGTTTATTACAGAAATATCTTGCCTTATAATTTTTTCGTGACCCAGTTCCGATTAATCTCTAAAAAGTTCACCAAATACTTGGTATGTCTTCAGTCTTCAGTAATAAGGATATTAGGTTGGTAAACCTGTGTTAACAGACTGTCTTCCAGTGAACGTTCAGTTTCTTGAAGATATTCACTGATGGATCTGATACCACTTGTTCGGGTACGGTGTTTCAGTCATGTACGTAAACCTTTGTCCCGGCACTTATTAAATACAACGATGAACAAACCATCGTATATATATATATATATATATATATATATATATATATATTCATTTGGTGTTATTTTACACAATTCTAGCTTTGTCAGACTTCAGGAAAATTTATCTTGGTTCCTTTTCTGAACGCATATCCATGGTTGAATCACTACCCGTAGGTCTGTTTCAGTTTCAGTTTCAGTTTGGGAAGGACAGGAGGCTCGATGGCCTATGTTAGTCCTGGCAATGGTGGTCTCTCAGTTGGTCCAACTTTCTTTTGAAAGAGTCGACGGATGGAGCCTCAACCACGTGCTGAGGTAGTGAATTCCACTCGTTGATGATTCGATGGGAAAGTCGATAGTCGGCTGACAAGTAATTTGTTCTCGGCTTATGAACTTTTTTGGAGTGTCCTCGTAAATTCTCTGTTTTGGAAGACAAGAAAAATGAGGGCATGTTAGGTGCAAATTTATCACTAAGCAATTTGTAGACTGTAATCAAGTCGCCTCTAGTTCTGCGATATGACAACGGGAAAAGGTTCAGCTTGGCCAGTCGAGATTCATACGGAAGCTTCGCTATTGCGGGAACCAGCTTAGTCGCCATTCTCTGAACCTTTTCCAGAAGCTCTCTGTCTTTTTTAAAGCAGGGGCAAGCCGCTTGTATGCAGTACTCAAGTTTAGGACGAACGAACACTGTATACAAAGTCAAAAACGTCTTAGTGTCGACATGACTAAAAGCCCTACGTATTGACCATAACGTTCTAAAACTTTTGGCGGCTATTGCACGGCAGTGTGCAGTAGTCTTTAAGTCTTGACTAACGATAACTCCTAAGTCATTATATGTCTGGACGACAGGTAGCTCAGTGTTATTCATCGTGTATGTATCTGTGCCTTGATGACCGATATGCATCACAACACACTTGGAAGTATTTATCGGCAACTGCCATGTTTGAGACCATTCAGATAACTTCTTCAGGTCATTTTGAAGTTCTAAGCTATCACTCTTACATCGTATCGTTCTCCATATCTTGACATCGTCAGCATATAGCAAGACCGATGATGATAGGAGACAAGGAAGGTCATTTACATACAAGAGGAATAGCACTGGCCCCAAAACTGTACCCTGGGGCACTCCACTAAGCACAGTTTCCCAGCTAGATAACTTTGAGTTCACCCTTACTCTTTGTTGACGCCCAACTAAGAAGTCTTTTATCCACATCAATAAATTACCTCCAATCCCGACATTTCTTAACTTATATAACAGCCGGTTGTGCGGAACTTTATCAAAAGCTTTACTGAAATCAATGAAGGCGACGTCTACAGGTAGCTTTTGGTCCTTAAGAGCACACCAGCTTTCACGAGCCACTAATAAGTTAGTGAGACAAGAACAACCTATTCTGAAGCCATGCTGCTTCTCCGAGAGGATCCGGTTTTTATCGAGATACTTAAACAGCTCCTTCCGAATAATCTTTTCTAATATTTTAACAACCACACTAGTTAGGCTAACGGGGCGGTAGTTCTCAGGTTTGTGTTTCGTTCCTGTTTTGAAGACAGGACTTACTATGGCGTTTTTCCAATCTTTCGGTAAGCGACCCTGCGTAACGGATAGGTTAAAGCATGTACTTAAAGGGTTCGCAACGAAGTTAGATAATTCCTTCAGTAGCCTAGGATGTAATTCATCGGGCCCCGTGGATTTACCTATGTCAAGCTTATTTAGCAGACCAAGGACATCGAGTTCTTTAATGGTCACGCTATCCAGTGTATGTATGGGGGGATCTGTATACGCTGACGAGAAGGGCGCTTCTATGGTATACACGTTGCTAAAGTAGTTCGAGAACGCTTGAGCCTTACCAAAGTCGTCCTCCACTAATGATGAAGCAGTACTGTCTCCCCATAGAGCAGGAATATTTCCTTTTCTCCTTGTCCTTTGGTTTATATAGGAATACAAGCGTTTAGGACATTCTATGGATTCCTTAACAAGTTTTTCTTCGTACAATTTTCTAGACTTACGGAGGGTCGAGGCACAAGTGTTCCGAGCCTTTCGATACTGAGATTTTGACTCATCAGTCCCCAGTAACCTAAATCTATCCCACGTTTTCCTTTTCTTACGGAGAAGGATACGCACCTCCCTACTGAACCATGGTGGTGAGTTTTTCGGCCCCTTTGGTATAGTCCAAGGGATGTGAGGTGTGGTAACTTTTAAGTATGATTTTCGAAATGTGTCCCAGGCCGTTTCAATGGAGGACTCTGGGTCTATTGTCCAATCTATTAACGATGCTGAGTGCATGATGTCTGGTATGTTTGCTTTCCAGATGTTGGGTCTGGACTGGACTGACGCGTCCTCATGACTGGCAGTTATATGGAAGTCGAAAGTTAAAACTGCGTGGTCACTTTTACCTAAGGGTGGCATATGGTGGAGGTTCGCAACATCATCCTCATAGTGAGTCAGTATAAGATCTAATAAGGATGATTCAGTGTCCGGGTCGTACCTAGTCGCTTCTTTCACATGTTGCACTAGGGCACATGTGATAACCGCATCAACTAGTTCCTGCTCAAAGGAATTTTCTGACGATTCAGTTCGCAGATTTTCCCAGTCTACCATTGGTGCATTAAAGTCCCCTAGGATTAGACATCGACCACTTTGGGACCAAGTATTGAGACTGCTTAACAGGATCTCATTTGCCTCACAGCTTGGACTGCGATAGACCAAACCAATCAGCAGCTCTTGTCCCTTGCATTTTAAGCGAAGACTAACTAATTCGCACGTCCCACTCTCATGGGATACACTATCGATAATGGTAAATGGGATAGCATTCCTAATGAATAGAGCTACTCCCCCTCCTTTGCGCTTTTGTGTTCTGTCGGCCCTTACTAACGTAAAGCCCTCGAAATCAAGTTCTATACTATCTATAGCCTGTGTCAGCCAGGTTTCTGTTACTGCGATTATATCTGGCTTTATAGAGTCAATCTGTACACCTAGTTCCGATCGCTTATTAAGTAAGCTTCGCGCATTGGTGTAACAGATCTGAAGCCTGTTTAGGTGCCTTCGTGCTTCACCCAGAGTGGCTTCGGCATCATTCTCTGTCGAAGTCTTACAACCCGAAAATTTACAATTTTCAGGTTCTTTTCGCCAGCGTCTAACCTATGTTGTAGTTCTTTCTCGGCTTCCCGTCTTTTAACACGGTCTGCCAACGGTAGGTCCTTTCGGATAAAGACTCCCGAACCCTTTAATTTGTGTCCATTTTGTAAAATTAGGTCACGTTCGTTTGAAGAGCCGAATACTACTTTAAGCATTCTGGAATGATTTGGTTTCGAGTCCGTTAGACTCCCTAGTCTATACACCTTTAGCAAGGTGACCCCAGTCATATTTTGAGGCATGAGTTGATTAAGCAGCTGCCTAATCAGTACAATGTCATGCTCAAAACGAGCTTTAGGTTCAGAGCTATCGCTCTCCTTAATTCTATGAAAAATAGCTGATCTGTCGCTATGATCAGCTTTCGATTTTTCAACCACTTTTACGGGGGCAGGTTTCCCTTTTATATCAATACTTTTCTTCCTTACAACCTTTACCCATTCGTTAACGCTGCTGGTAGAAGCAATAGCAGTTGCGTCAAAACTAGTTTTGGGTTTTGGGGGGTTGTCGACGACCTGAGGGGTCGTGTTATGTTTACCATTCGAAACCGATCGAGCCTTGCGATTGCGGCTCCTAGGTGTTTCCTGTTGGATCCCATCTGGGAGACGGGGAACAGAAGACCCTGCTTTTCTTGAGCTTTTTTTTAAGGCAGACCCCTTTGGAGACTGCTTTTCCTTCTTCGACGGGCGTGAGTCATCTATCACCGGACTCACCTTAGTTTCCTTCACATTGATTTGCGTGTCAACAGATCGAGTGCTGTTTGACGCGTTCCGACTATGCTTGTTGAAACACTTCTTGGCAGCATCAACCAGTGAGATAGCCTCGGTTAACAAGCTGTTTGCATCCGAGCAGCACTGTTGACAAAGCCACACACAACCCTTCTTACTGAACCGTTTGAAAGCAGCAGGCGTTAAGTTCGTGCAAACTTCGTGGTACCAGCCTTTGCACTCGTCGCACTGCATGCCGCTTTCAACAGGATAACGACAACCCGGACGTTGGCAACTGCTTTTTTTACACTGTCCGGTCATTTAGGAGGGGTTTTTTCAATATGCGATGATACCCAGAAACAAAAAAATTATCAATGACCAAAAAAGTGAAGAGCTGTAGATTGCTAGGACCAAAAGTACTAACAGATACAGTTGAAAAAGTGGTACTAAAGAGTACCAACGACAAAACAGTAAAAACGATACTTTAGTCGAATACTTTAACTGAAATAAATTCAATTAAAGTGAAAAACAGTAGTCTTGATACGTAATAAACGATCAAAACAATGAAATTTACTCAGCGAGGAAAAATACCACTGTCCTTTTTAAATAGCGCGGCAAAGCTGTTCTTAAGATTCTTGCTAGATCAACTGACAACAGTCCAAGAGTGAGTAAGTGTTTCTGTTACCACTCAATTTGTTGATTTGAGGATCTGGATTTTAGACTCAGACACTTCAACTACAATCTGTCACTACAAGTACGCATAAAAATGTGGTTCGTTTCGCACTAGTTTAAGAGTGCTAATTGTAGGTCATATTCCTGAATTCATCTCATAATCAAGACCTTTTTTCAAAGAATTTTTCCGCGTTAGAAAGAGTAGAGAAATCATGGTGATAAGTAACTCGCTCCTCTTGGGTTTAAATTTTTGTTGGAAAATGTCTGTTTCAAATGAATATGTCGGACCTCTACCACTCACTCTTCTGAATTAGTGGTTAAGGCACCTAACTTTTGTTCCGAACCCCCACTTACTTCAGTTCCGAAAGCCTGTCAGTATCACTTACTATCATTTCAAAGTGTCTGAAAGTTGAGTGAATATATATGTACTGAATAAAACCGGTGTACACTTATGCTCATTTTACAACAGGCTATTTGTTCTTTTGTCAATGAGTTCCGTAAAAAGTTATTCCACTTTCTTCTAGGCTAGTCTGTATTACACCTGTGGTTCCTCGTTTCAGAACTATTATTTATGTGTAGTCATTTTATTTTTGTGATGGTAGTGTTAGGTCGTTACCTGCTTCGGTTTGGGCACCCGGGCAGTATCACAGCCCTCACACATATCGAATGAGATTTGTGTGGCGCATATGTATTTGGTGCCTCCTTGTACCAATATCTATGTGTTAAAATAAATAAATTGTTGCTAGGCTCCTTATTTGAGCAATACGATCATAACTTTAAAGGAGGTCTTTTTATATTTAATAATTGGATAGACTTGATAGGAATAAATTTTTAAAACAGATAATAGTGAAATCAGAGCACTTAAGCTTTTCTGTAGCAATATGTCACTTTTCAACATGAGCTATCACGTTTGTCGAATGTTTTCAATTATTTTACTTTTTCTTTTCAAAAATTAAATACGTTACAATCCTTATATTGCTGTACGTAATCTTTGAATCACTTTACTGGTTATCATCCTGAAAAACATCTTACAGTACTTCCTTTATTCTACTATTGAAAATCAAAGCAGTAATTTCAATCGCATGTAGACACTTTTGTTCAACCTCATGTACGTTCAACAATGCGGATGTGGTTTTGATTTCACAGCACAAGTCTTGTGGTATCATCACTCTTAACCGCCCAAAAGTTCACAACTCCCTGAATCTTGAAATGTTAGGAATTATTCATTCCAAATTAAAAGACTGGAATCACGATCCATCGGTAATCGTCTAATTTTTCTTTATGTCAGGTCTCACTTGTTGTTATAGAAGGTTCTGGTGAGAAGGCATTCTGCGCTGGTGGTGATGTACGTTTTATTGCATCTGCTGTCCAAAAAGGAAGTATTGCTGCTCAAGAATTCTTTCGTAAAGAGTATCAATTAAATCATCTTATTGGGGTAATGACCAAACCATATATTGCTATTTTGAATGGAATCACAATGGGTGGTGGTGCAGGAATATCAGTACATGGAAGGTAAAAATTTTTACTAGCCATGTTTCCACAACTATATGTTTTACTCGTGTATATTTCTTGTTTTATGATCACTACTTATTTATCTAGATACAAAGTTGGAGACAATGGATAACACTATCCGAAATCGATCACAATATTGTAAATTTCATCATTCTTTATCTCAGTATTATTCAATACCTTTTATGCCTCTTTTACTCGTTCCTATTAAACTCTGACTTGTGTTCGACATTTTACTGTGGTTTACATTATTCTTCTCACCCCTTGAAACAAATATGATGATTAGGTGTCATATATGATTGGTGAATATCAGCTTTGTGGGTCACTCCCTCTCAATCAATTTAAAACTATAAGTTAGGGTTCAATTTATCTCTATACCAGAAAAGCCTCTAGAATTTTTTTGGCTTTTATGATGTCATTTCTATCCAAGATTTTGACATTTTTCTGGTAGAATATGTACTCACGATTGTCTAAATGCATAGACATAACCTAAAATATATTCTAACGTCTGATAGTTAATTTGCTTTTATAGGAGGAACTACAGTGAACAAAATGGACTCTTTCATCTTTGTCCGTATGAAAAGTAATCAGCCATGAAACGTTGCATCGTATCTCTTATACCACAAGGTATATACAGTTATGGCCACAAATTCGACCAGGAAAATGTCGGAATAATGGAAAAAAGGAAACCCAAAGAAAGTTAGAGAACTTTTAGATGACACAGCATTAGCCAGGGAATTGATTGATTATCAATATCAAATGTGGTATTTTGAAATTGAGTGAATCGACAAGTCTAATTACATTCATTATTTTTGCGTAAGCTCTGAACATCGCATTGTTTCGCACTTTTTATTCTCTTTCATATCTTGTTTGTTGTTTCTTTTAATTGTTTAGTAGTTTTGGTTTTTTTATTTTTATTTATTTATTTTTCTCTTGGCGTTTATGTAAAGAATGGCAGCCTGAGCTGATAGGTATTTATGTCAGGTTCGACACTGTCCCCATTTATCTTCTATATTATCTTAATGACTTACGATTGAAAACCTGAAGAAATACCTTTTTTTCAAATAGTCTCGTTTCCGTTTAAAGTGGGACCCTGATAGCCCATTCTAAATAGATTTTTTAAAGGTTAGAAGGTTAATTTATTTTTGCACATTATGCAGATCCTTTTAGTTACTTATACTCATTAAACGAATAAGTAAATTGAGTTACTAATCATTGAGACAATCTTATAGCATTGTTACTTCTTTACTTTTAATTCCATCTATTCTATTTATTTGATTTTACTTATTGTTTGCCAATCCTGTTGACTTTAATATTTTTTAGATATCGTATAGCTACGGAAAAAACAGTTTTTGCTATGCCTGAAACAATGATTGGTTTTTTTCCTGATGTTGGTGGTGGCTATTTCCTACCACGACTTCCTCATCCAGGACTTGGTTTATTTTTAGCACTAACTGGATATAAGTTATCTAGTATGAATACTGTATGGGCCGGTATTGCTACACATTTTATTCATTCTAAAGATGTTAGTTGACGGTTTAATCATTTCATATTGTTTTAATTATTAGTTTAGAAAATATAATGTATTTGTTGTCTGAGTCTTTGATTTACATCTCATGTTAATGAGATATATATAATTTTTTTCGGAAAAGCCAAAAACAGCCACTACTACAAGTACCACCCATTTAAAATAAACTGGAAATTTTTGAAAATTTATGCATGTACCCTGGGTGTTTTATAAGATTCTTTCGGAGAATAGTTATAGTTGCATGCTACCAACTATTTCTAGAATATATGACAAACTATCCACGATTTTCCAATTTTCGATGGTACAAAGAATGACTCCAATTCAGTACAAACTAAACCAAAGCTTTATTTTGCTCAGTAATATTCTGATGGATGAGATTTTTGTCTATCATACTGTGATTTATGCTACTTATGTTGACATATATAAGTAGTATGTAACCAATCGAAAGTGAAATGCCTGGCAACAGAAGATTGAGAAGATCAAATTGAAGAGAAGAAGAATGTAAACAGAGAGTAATTTTAATAACAACAGTAGCGAAGGAACGATGAAGTTTGTAAAGGATGATTGATGGAAGATGTGCAAATAAAGTATTTAATATTTAGTTTTCAAATTTTGTGATGACAGTAATTTTACATTAAACTATAATATGATCTTCCCCACCAAATCTTCGTTCACTACATTACTATTAACTGACCATGGCAAGAATTGTGCTCTGATTTTCCTACTACTTACCATATAGTTGTGTGTTGTTTTTACTACATCCCCTACGATGGAAAAATTGTCTTGTTTGAGCGAGAAACATGACAACACTTATAAACTTACTAGTATTCGTGGTTACTTCTATCCGGAAGAATTCAAGCTTTACTGTTTTCTTGTTACTGTCGAAAGGTACAGACGTAGTTTCTGATTCATACATAAATACTATCACATACCAAACACCATCTTCTGTATAAAGGTAACAAAAACAGCTTTTTGACGATGAATACACGTGTGCGAACCCATAGGTCCATTTCAAGAGATATGGTGCATCCTACTCAGTCTTTATTGCTGTTCGTGGATCATATTACACGTTTAAAAATTATTCACAGAAAGCCTCATGTCAACTTGTCAGAAATCATTAAATACAGTAATGTAAAATATATCTTCTGGATTGTCAGCTAATGAGTTGCTTGTGTGCACAACCTGACCCTATAAGAAATTATTTGACTTACGAATTAGCTTTCTAGGTTATATATACAAAGTTAAACAACGTGTTTTCAAAGCTGTACTAGTAGCTTCAAGTGACATCTAAGCGATACTGAATAAGTTAAACATGATGTCTCGATTTTTGGTGAGTAAACATTTATTTACAAAAAATCACTAGTCATTGTTTTTATACACTAATTGTATTTTTATAGTTATCAAACTTCAAAAATGCACTAATGAATCTTGAATTAAAGTCTACATGTAGTTCAGATGATAAACCAGAATTTGATTATGCTATTGACAAAGTAATAAATCAATTTAGTAGTGATGTGCCTAGTTATTACCACTCTTCAGTATCCAATGATCTTCTATATATTTTAGACGATTTGTCAAAAATATTTTGCTTTTATAAGAATAATGATGATGGCGGTGATCATGAGATTCCAGTCACTATAGAAGATATCCTTATAAAATTATCTAAATGTTATCAGAATATAGAAAATCATGAGAAAGTCATTCATTGGGCTAAACAAACTTACGACAAATTATTGAGTTGTTCACCTACTTCATTAAAAGTATGGTTTGATTTTTCATTCTATCTTGTCTATTAATGTTTGGGTTATTTATATTTGATTTGTTTAATATTTTTTTAGGAGAAGTCATAGTGTATCAAACAGATAGATAGTTAATCATTGACTGTTAATTTTGGGGCTTGTTTATAAATAGTAGACATCATGGTATTCTTCTGAAAGAAAAATATAGTGATATGGTGTTAGATCTATATTACGATAAACTCATTGACTATTTAAATTTCTCTTCCAATCTGTAACATCCTTCTGTTTCTAGACCTTAACTGTTATGTTTGGCTTTACTATCTATCATTCACTTGAGTTTATTGAGAACATTGACACATGATATCTTTAGTTCTTTTCAAAGAGTTCTTTGCAAGTACAGTTATATTAAACAATACTATAGAGTTATTTGAAAATACCAGGCATTATACTGTTTGTTTTTTTCAAATAAGAATCCTTGGTCACAACCGACGTCAAATAATATCATTACCAAGGTTTTCATGATAGATCCAAATAATCGAAGCATTAGTAGGTTGAAATAAATATGAATTTATAATATCCAATCAGTAGAAAATTTAAATTCTAATGTTTCGTAGCTTATTGTAAGTCGCTTCAAAGAACTGAATTTATGTCAGTTTAAACAAAACAAATCGATAGCTATACTTTTCTTTATATTGAGTGCAGTAGTGTTTTCCAGTATATCGAAAGCTTCAGTCACTAGATTTTCTTTAAAATTAAAAAAAAACTTTTCAAGTTATTTTGATAGTATTTATGTCCTATTGATGATTATTGAAAATTGCATGTACTGCTATTTCTTATTTGATTTGTAGATTTTCAATCTCTGTAGGATTATTAGGTCGTTTTATGTGTCTTACATGTTCCTCGGTACAAGTCATGGCTTCACGAGGTAACTTTTCGACACAGAAACCAAAATCAATACATTCTGTTATGTAGACATATCTTTGTGTCAAAATCAAATGGATGTTTTTCTTTTAATCAAACTAACGCGTTTGGTAGCACGTCGGTTGTTTTAGAGAAAGCTTTAATTTAGTGTAATTTATGGATTCATTGTGATTCTTTAGTTCTACCGTGGTGGTATATTAGAATATGCCAAGTATATATATGGTACATGCAGTATATTAAACCCTTGGAATCCAACACTGACTAAATAACTTTTTCTAATGTGTATGTTTCTGATACTTATCTTGAGATACTAAGAATTACAAACTTACCTTATTTATGTATAACGATTTAATTGTTTCTTTAAAACAAATCCTTAGTTATTAATATCACCATGTTGTCACTAACAATTTTGATTTTTAAGGTCACTTTACATCAATTACAGATTGGTTCTAAATTATCGTTTAGTGATGAATTTAAAATGGAATATCGCCTATCACAGAAAATGACTAAAAATCCTGATTTCTATGAAGGTGTTCGTGCTTGTCTTATTGATAAAGATAACACACCAAAATGGAATCCAAATAATCTTACCTCAGTAGATATGAATCAAATTCAATCATATTTCAATCACCTACCGGAAAATGATGAATGGAGACCTGAATAGTTTCTTCTAATCTATTCTGCATTGTTGCTATAACGGTTATCTTTTTTGAAATAAAAATGTACGTGTTTACAACTTTTTCATATTTTGTATTGATTATTTCTGTTAGAACAGTTCTACTGACGAAACATCTTTCTAATAAGTCATCCCACTGTAACTCAAACATACCTCTCGTGGCTTCAAAATAAAAACGTTATCCAGTGGACAAGTATACAATTGATATTCGTAATTTAATACCCTTGAAAGATATTTATCTGAAACTTCATCAACTTTAGAAATTAGATTAATTGACTTTCTGTTTAAGGAAGACTTTCAATGAATACCAGGTGTAAATTCTAGATTTAACTCTCCTCGTTACTTACATTTCGCATTCGTTATGCCCCCAAATGTCCTGGTACGGCCGAGAGTGAGGAGAGTCTGCTCGCCCTCTCCAAATGCTCTCACATGGCCACGCGTATATAACCTCTGCCAGGGAAGTCCTACTCACTGCCATCTCGCAACACGGGTGTTGTTTACTAAATTTAGAGGATGAAAAGCGAATGTCCGAAGCTTTAACCGGGTTGGTGGACACACAGAATCCACCTAGGGGAGTTGGAAAACCCTGGTTTCAAACCAATGGTGCACATGATCTCTAGTATCCTGAAGGAACAAATGGCGTATGAACCAATCGTTGTTGACCGACTACCATGGGACTGCGTCTCCTTGCGATGCTCCACTGCCTTTTGGATCAGACATTCAGGTCGAAGGCCCTGGGTGTGGCTCACTAAGAAAACCACATGCTTCGGTTTTGGCACCCAGGTAGTATCACAGCCCTCATACATATCAAATGAGATTTGTATGGCGCATATGTGTTTGGTGCCTCCTTGTACCAGTATCTATTTGTTAAAATAAATAAAAAAACTCTCTTGAGATCAGAATAAAAGTGCACCTCAAGCTACGTTGTCATTAAATAACATTCAAATGGTTTGCAGTTGAAAAATTGTTATTAAATTGATTTCGTTGTATTATAAGTAATATTTAAATCTGTATTAATCAAAGGGAAAAATAGAAAAAAATCATAAAGACAGTTTCTGTTTTTCTGTAGACAGTTCTGGACTTACCTGAAAACTATTAAAGTTATCTACTCTTATCAGAGTTGCATTTGAAAGCCGTGCATGAAAAACGTATTGTGCGTGTATCTATACTCACATCAGTGGTAAATACTTGATTAGGCCTTGTATACATTGCCTCATTGCTTAGGTAAAAATAGTTTACAGGACATAACCCGTTTTTATGTTTTTTAACCTTTTGGTATTGAATAATTTGTGTGAGCATTGTAAATAAAATTAGGCTAAAACTAAAATTACAAGGAAAGTTTTTTCAGTGTAAATGTTCCTGTAAATCTTGTGTGTTTACTCGAAGAAAATGTGTATTTAATTGATACACTTATGTTCATACTGACAGATATCAATCATACATTCATATTTTGATTGCTATTACTGAGTAACAACTCAATGTTTATGATCACTATAGTACATCATTGCTTCATGTGATCGTGTTAAAGCATCTGGTAGTGTAGTACCTGCAATCCAATCTAATTGACGTTGTAGTGCTCCAGTATATTTAGCATTCAGTGAACCAGTTTTTAAATTAGATTTAGCAAGTGGACCACAAACCTCACAAAAATAACGGCGACATTCTAAACCTGTTCGAGTTGTATAGAAGTGCGGAGTATATTGATGGTCTGTAGGTGGTTGGTATAATTCACTGATTTGTTCTTTTTAAAAGGATAAACACAAGAGAAAGGGAATATTAGAATATCAGCAATAGTAGTTTACTAGTTTTTAAGATAAACAAAAGGATAGTCATATTACTTTTAACACTTGTTTTAGAAAGTATTTATCGAATGTATTGAAGTCTACCAATTTGCTGTTTCTCTCTATAAACTGAAGTTTATCAAGACTAACGATGGTATATAAAGTGCGGGTTTCATCTTGTATAGGAATTGTCACGTACCGGCATCATAACGTTAATGTATACATGTGTCTATTGCTTCAAATGCTATAATGTTATCGACCACTGATTCGGAAAAAGCAGCCCTGAATATCAACAATTAAAAAATTCAAACCTTTAAAACTGCTAATAGTTGTCACATATTACTAAACGTTTTGTTGATTTTAAATCTATCTATCCTATAAAAATCGTTCCCGTGTTTATCGGGAATAATCATTTGAAATTACCAACCATAAAATTTAGAATCATAATATATCACATAGAATTAGGTCATTTAAAACAGTTATGAATCGTAAAATGAAAATAAAGTATAAGTTCCATAAATAATACATAAATTAAAGTGATAATCTATAACAGAGAAGTTCTGTTTGTGTAGTGTGTTCAATTCATTATTACCACTAACGATTCTAGGATTATTTTTTTAAGCTATATTTATTTATTTAAACACATAAACATTGGTACAAGAAGGCACCAAATAGATATGCGCCACATAAACATTTCGATTTATATGAGGGCTGTGATACTTCTCGGGTGCCCAGGCCGAAGCAGGTGGTTTTCTTTGGGGGCCACACCCCGAGCCTTTGACCTGAAGGTCTGACCCACAAGGCAGTGGAGCATCGTAAGGAGATGGAGTCTCACGGTAGCCGGTGACCAATGATTGGTTCATACGCCATTTGTTCCCGCAGGATACTGGAGCCAGCCCATGTTCACCATTGGTTTGGGATCCGGTTAAAGCGCCGGACAACATCCCCTCTACGAGAAGGCAGTGAGCAGGACTTCATTGGCAGAGGCTGTATACGCGTGGCCGTGTGGGAGCATTACGAGAGGGAGGGCGGGCCCACCCCACTCTCGGCCATACCAGGGCGTTTGAGGGCCTTTACTCTCCATTAACAAAATATGACTGATCACTGTTTTTTAAATTAACTATTGGTGTCTATAATTTACTTGTATTGTACTTGTTCTAAAAGCACTCTTTTTGTATCTTGACGGCTAGTGAGCATTATTGAGCTAGGCAAAGTGATATCCAATTCTGTAATTGTTTTCATTACCTACTAATATATATCCACACATTGATTTCTACAGATAGATTCAAAAACCATACATGTTTTTTTCAAGAAAGAAATGAAATATGCTAGGCTGGACCAAATGCTAAGCAACAGTCGTTGACAGGAGTTTGTTATTGGTGAAGATCTGGCTTAAGTTCCCCAGGAGAAAGACATAAACTGTTGGTTTAATATTCTGTAGGAGATAGACACATATTTATGGATGGGTTGTGCTTATTTTTTCAATCCGGTTAGATAGCAAAAACTCTCTACTCTTGATTCTATCACCTAAGTAGGTAAGCTGACATATGGGAGTCGTATACATCAGTACAAGACATGGATAACCTAGGAATGTAGCAATGATCTCTGGATTTATATCTTACAAATACAATGCTAACTTTTGGTAACCTTTCATGAATTTTTTTTTATGACTGTAGTGGGAAGAGACGTAAAGTATTTTGGTAATGTTTAATATTCGAAATAATTACGTGTTCAGCGCTGTATTTATTTCATGATAATTTGCTGACAATTTTTTCATTGAAATCTTGAGATATTTCAGCAACGGGCACCTACGTCACCGTACTAATAGCCCCATCAAGGATCGGGCAGAAGACCATATCGTCAACTTGTCTAAATCAACAGTGAACAATTCTGATAATTAAAATAACTGGGTTAAATGGGCATCATTTATAATAGCTTCGTAGTAGTTTGCTTCCTTTGTTCTTTCTTTCTTTTGCCTGGTGAATATTTAGTCATTATTTAATCAGCATTGACGGATCGGAAGTGCCCCGACCGTTCTTGCTAGCTTGACGTGGTGGTCGGGCTTACCTATCGTGATGAAGCAACAGAGCTATACTGGCTGGAACAACCGTTCCTCAAGGTCCTACCATGTCAGACAGGTCGGTTGAAGAGCGGTAAGACTAAAAGCAACAAACCCAAGGTCCGAAGGTGAAGTCGTACTGTTGACTGTACAGAGGTGTGACAGCAGTAAGGTGTTTCCTTCAGACAACCAGCATGACAGCGATGCTGCCTTCCCACAAGGAGGGGTGGGGTTAGAAAATGTCGACCCTAAAAATGCACACCTCACCTTACCTCACGGATTTCCGTCTCCGGCGGTAAAGCCCTTTGAAGAACGGAGCTAACACGTCAAAAACCTCCCACGAAAAGGCCGTGCGCGACCGGCCTCAATCAGTTGTCCCTTGGGCACTGCGGTCACGCTCTCAGGTCACTGAGACCACCTCTAATCCAATTTCCTCTTCAGGTACCTCCAGAAGAACCCTTCCTCGGTGTGGGCAACCGGGAAGCGATAACCGCCCTCATACCTCTAACAGCACTCGATCGGAAGTGCCACCAAGTTGTACTTAAACTAGCTAAGGAGTCATAGGATTGAGTGACTTTCGTACACAAAGTTAAATAGCTACATATTTTACTTGACGCTGTCTCAGTTCCAAAGTTTATCACGTTTCTAAACAAGTATTTTAAAAATACCATACAGTGACGCACGTTGTTCATTATCTAAGTGAGTAATAGTGTATATATATAACTTTGGGCCTTCGTTTTTTGTTCATGATTAACCACTTGCTGTGCGATAAACGATTTATTCTGGTTGGATTTTGCACTTAATATGATACATTTATTTCGTAGACATAAAAACATACATATAATCAACTATTCATCCAGTGTCGGGAATAGAAAACTTGATTTGGTCAATATTTACCTAATCTCGTTACCTTAATTTTATATTGATAATTCGACTTTTCAACAGTAATTTAATAAAACACCAGTTGCACGATAAGTATTTTGAATTCACAACCATATTGCAAATCGATTGTCGTTTGATATATACAATACTGGTTGTCGGTTTGAAGGCTAAGCGTTCAGAAGAGGGAGAAAAGGTCATAAGTGTAGGGTCATTGATGTGGGCTACTAAAAAGTCTTATTCCAGGACAAAGTTATCCACCTGTAGAAACCGGGTTTATTCTTACTCCATAGAGAATAGAGTAAGATTAGGAATATAGACACAGAGAACATCAATTTAATCACACGTGATGGAGAAACTCTAGAAGATGCGGCATCATCGACGAGCAAGGAGGATCTGATGCAGATGTGAAGGCAAGAATTGATAAAGCAAGGATGGCATTCCTATAGTTGAAGAACATATGAAACTCAGTACAACTAACAGTTAACATCAATATCAAAACCTCCAGTGAGAACGTTAAGACAGTTCTAATGTACGGAACTGGAACTTGGGGAACTTCCGTAACCATCATCAAAAACGTTCAAGGTATTTATGAACAACTGCCTAGGCAGGATACTCAATGTACATTGGCTGCATACCATACGTAACAGTCTACTATAGCAGAGAACAAACTGGAATGTACATCCCAGGAGAATTCTGGTAGATAGCTTATGTCCTTCACAAGAGGTAACAAACGTAAGTGATATTACATCTACTATCTACAGTAGTGTTGAAAAGTTTCATATTACTCCCGATATCTAATTTCATTTATTTAACTACACAAATCAATAATATTGCCATAAACTTGTTTAGAATATAAATTAATTTTGATTGAGATTATGAACCGATTGAAGTTAGACCACCACTGAAAACTTAGAAGCACTGGATGGCTGTTTCGTCCTATTGTAGGACTCGTCAGCAGTGCGCATCCACGATCCCGCTCACGAGATTCGAACACAGGACTAAAAGTATGGCACAATAATATTTAAATAATCTGATATATAATTAGTTAGAAAACATAGAAAACTTCAATAAAATAGTTATATGAACATACGTTCTGTAAGATATGCTATATAACTTTCATCTGTATTAATTGTACTTCTAGTCATTTTCAATGATTTCAAATAATGATCATCTTATCAACTAGCTTTCTATTATTTGTTCTAAGAAAATGTATCAGTGCTAAGCAACGAAAAAATAAAATTAATGTTTAAACCAATCAGAAATATTGTTAGTATGTTTAATGAAAATATTGGTAAAAATTAATGTCAACCTTGAATGAATCAATCAGAATTAAGATGGTACTTGATAGAGTTTCTTTATTTACCAGAAATCAAAATCTCATTGAAAGATAGCTTGTATATTTAATGAACTAAGTTGAAATTAGCAGTATTAAGTTTCTAAAATCATTGAAATTGATAATCAGTCGGTCAGTCAGCTACAACATAGAACCAGGCACATATGTGGATCGATCCAAGTTGCCATACCTCATTAACATAACAAGATGAACACCGGATTCACAGAAGCAATTAATTCAATGGTGGTAATATATAAAAGAAAGATTACATATAAGAACATAGTACAGGAAGAAAGAATTAGTTCCTAGAAAGAAAGATATGAAGCTATTTTAATCTCTTAGTTTAAGGGAAGACAGAGAGTGTATACACCGACGCCATTGTGATCGATTCTGTGCCATTTCACCAAAAGTCTCCAACGATTGGTTACAATAGTCACGCGGACCCCAACCAAGTAGTTTTCATTTATCAACATGGCTCAGATTAAAAGTTAGTAACTTCAAACACTGATGCCACGTTTTGGTTTGGCCACCCCTAACTTTCTTACAACCATCCCCAACACCCGTTAGCATTGCACGTCGTGGTAATCGGTGTTCAGGCATATGTAACACGTGGCCCAACCATCTTAGTCGATGAAGATTTACAACCTCATCGACTGATTTACCATCATTCCTTAATACCCTGCATCTAACCTCACTATTACTTACCCGGTGATCCCAGTAGATGATGGCAATATTTCTAAGGGAGCTGTGGTCAAATGCTAGTAGCTTACGATCCGACCGTTGTTGCTACCTTGATGTGGTGGTCGGGTTTGCCTATCGAGATGAAGCAACTGAGCCAAACTGGCTGGATCAACCGTTCCTCAAGGCCCTACCATACCAGACAGGTCGGCTGAAGAGCGGTAAAACTAAAAGCAACAAACCAAAGGTCCGAAGGCGAAGTTGTACTGCTGACTGTACAAAGGTGTGACGGCAGTGAGGTGTTTCCTTCAGACAACCAGCATGACAGCGATGGTGCCTTCCCACAAGGAGGGGTGGGGTTAGAAAATGTCGACCCTAAAAATACATACCTCGCCTTATCCCACGGATATCCGTCTCCGGCGGTAAGGTCTCAACAAGTACGGAGCTAACACAAAAATTGCTCATAAAAAGATATGTGTGACCGGCCTCAATCAGTTGTCCCTTGGACACTGCGGTCACGCTCTAAGGTCACTAAGACCACCTCTAATCCGATTTGCTTTTCAGGTACCTCCAGAAGAACCCTTCCACGGTGTGGGCAACCGGGAAGTGATAACCACCCTCATACCTCTAACAGCACTCAAGACCATCTATTGCACAACCAATCAGAATAAGATATGGTGTTTGAGCTAAATTAAAAGAAATACTTGCTCCTGATGTAGGTTTTTTTGTTGGAATATTTGATATGAATCAATGAATATTCAAGGCTGTTTATATAGTTGATAAATATTCTCCTAACTTTCTTAATTTTATCAACAAGAGGGTAGCAAAATTTCATTGTACCATATCTGATGTCTGTTATTGATGTAAACTTTAACCCTAATTCGTAATTCAAACTTATAACTTGAACTCAACCTCGAAGTCCTAATCAAAATCTTCTACATTTTAGTTGATATCTATTCATGACTAAAACTCTATTGGATTAAAACCCTAACTGACAACACTAAGACGATTCCTAAAATACAAACTTTTCTTTTGATTTAATAGATAAGGGTTAATTAGTCATATTGTACTATAATTTCATTGTTATTTGTTTTATAACTAAACTGCTTTTCAACTGGTTAATAAGTCGCTCTAGGTCTCCAGTATAGTTTACTTTTCACAAATTTTCTTATAAAATTACCACGTGTTTAATTTATTACTAAGTACATAGGGGTAATAAGTTCATTCTGATATTATACAGTGAAAATATGTTCAAATTAAACACTTTAATAAATCATTTCATTACTACTGCACCTAATGTAATGATCAATCTTATCTTTTTGACATCAGAATCTTCCTTTATACGATTTCTTAATTGTCGTCTCATTATGTCACTTTACCAATCTACAGACGAGTTTTCTGAAAATTGTTTGAGAAACTATAAGAAATCTTGTGGTTTACACCAAAGCGCTGGATAGCTGTTTTGTCCCTCATAGTATGAATTTATGACCACATTAGGAGCTCGTCTCTGAGTCTTCAGATATCGCGTAAAGCGCTTAACTCCCGAACACTGACCCTGCATTAAACGGTCTACATGTCTAACTTCAATCAATTCCCTAAATAAAGAATACTTACATGAGTATTTACGATATGATTATTCCATCGAATTACAAATTGGTGTTCTTTTTGCAATGCTGGTCCATCAACCATGATTTTGGTTGGTAGTTTTTGGCTCTTGTTCTGCCATTGTCTGTACATTTACTTTGTCTTTCACCTTGAATTGATCTTTGACTTTATAATTCCTTATAATTTTTCTGATTGGTTAAGAAATAAGATCTATATCAATGTATTTTCACTGATTTTTGTCTGACCTGATTGAAAAATTTCAAAAATCCTCTGATCTCTATTCTTTCTGTTCCCAGCCGCAGGTATGTTCATAAATGAAATGAGTGAAGAGACATTTTGGCTCATGATAATTAATTATGTCCCTGAAGACGAAGAGAGTAATAACTCTATTTGATGTAATATTTCTCAGTTTATCTTGTAGATGATGTTTGAATTTTCCACTTTTTCAATCCTTCATTTGGTTTGCATACAATTGATGGAAGTGATTTTCCACTAGCTCAGAGAACGTAACTATCAAAAGTAATCTCTTGTACGCGAAATTTAAACTACTTATAAACAGAGAGATTCCTACTTACAACTTACTATTTACTCATTTTCTATGAAGGATCATAAAATATTCGAAGTTTACTGTAGCGCGACGTAGGGTTGTCAGCATTTCATAGGCTTATAGAACTCCCAAAAGACGTACATGTATATAATTACATGGCAACTTATTACAAAGGAGACAGAACTTAATACACTGATTGTAAAGTGATTATGCAATTATTATTTTTATTATCATGAGTACGAGTAGTATTAGTATTATAAAAGGTTCATTCAACTTTTAGTCATGTTAAACATTCGTGCGGATACTTACTGATTTTTGATATTTTATCACACTAGTTAGTAAACAGACTTTAGATAAAAATTTCAACTTTTCTCATTGATTTATCTGAAAGGAACTTAGATGAATTTTACAGTATCGTGACTCAGGTATCAGACAATGAAGACCATCTGCTACAACTATGCTCAGATGACCATATGCTTCTAGCATGTTTTGACTTTAAACATAAAGGAAAACACTATCTGATATAGCCACCCTCATAATCGACTCAACCGTGGACTTGAATAGACCACATTACCCTCAGCCACCGTTGGAGAGGCTCCGTAGAAGACTGACTCGTTCCAGAGCACATGTTTAGACTTTAGTCATGCTTTAGTACGAGCACGTACTTTCCTGCGTTTTCTTGGATGAAGAAAATTGACGGCGAGTAAACCCTTGATGTTAAGCCTAATGATAAAAATGTCAAGAATATATTTCAGGTACAACTAGAAAAGGAACTAGCTAACGTTTTAAGCGATATCCACCTCGAAATAGTCTGCCATGATATTCAAACAGATGTGGAAACAGCAGCGGTATCTACCAGCAAGCTGAAACTAAAGGTTAAGAGACCAGTAAGCTCGAGCAATGTTTACTGAACTAATAGATCCTTCGAAACTCATCCAATTTGGCTAAAAACACGAGTAGTGAAGGCAGCTTTGTTGCTGGCTGATAAAATGCCTACCTAATGATCTTGAGTCGTGGTGGGTAGCGAAAGGAAAAATAATGGAAAAAGCAGCAGCAGACTTTCCTGACTTATCTAGTAAGCCAATAATGGAAATCTGGCTGTTATTGAGACTATAGGAAAGTAATAGAGATACTATTCCCTCTCAATTCAGGGACATAGTCAAATTGCTTCACGCAAGATCGATATTTCCTGCTTTACACCAAACTACTTATTGTTATTCAGTAGTTTGAATTATATCTAGCCGTTTTATGATTGGCGTACATTGGAGTGGATTTTGACCTGTTGAACAAGTTATGCAATCAGTGAACAACCTCTGTTTAATATTTCATATTTTCTACTTCGTGTTTTATTTTTATTATGTGTTACTATTCAGGACTTCAAGTATGAAATATGAACTTTACGTTATAGTACGTTAATCGCTGATATCCACGGCCCATTTTTCATGATAGTACATGCGGTGGTGAAGAATGTTTCCTAGTCATGCGACACTCGTTAAGATTGTTTCTAAGGGCATTCCCTACACTGAAAACCATATGAATCCAAATGTACGAACCCTGCTCTCATTTCATCTTTCCTAATAGTACCACATATTCTGACTTTTTTAATTGTTATCAGGTTAGAATTCTCGGTATAATAGGGTTTTTTCATAATAAGTATGTCTTTAGTGATCATAACTTGTAATACATGACTTTTTATCACGACTATCTACTATTACTATATCTTAGGTACATTGATTGTTAATCTATATAGATAAGAGTGAATCAACCAATAATGTTTGAGTTAAACGCTCACCACTTAAGACTTATTTGGTACCAGGCTGATTATTATTCTAACCCGTTTTACTGAACTGCCAATCATGAAACTGCACCAATCATTATTTTAATACAACTTTATTTATTGATTCATTTTTTTGTCTCTTAACTAGTGTTTGATAGGCGTGTATTTATTGTTGTCGTTGTAATTGACTTTACTATTTTGTGTT